TTTTATATGATGGCCAATTTGGATCGAAGCAATATCGGCAACGCGAACACAGCTGGGTTCTCAGAGGACTTGGGCCTAGTTGGAAATCAGTTTGGAACCGCTACAACTTTACTGTACGAACCCTGAGCCCTTTTGATCTCGCTATGTTTGAATAATTCCTGATATATTTTCCGAACAGGTACGCAACCTACGTCCCCTTTGAGGGACCGATTGCGGTGCTTCTTAAGATCATCGGGCCGAAGCCATTGTTATCAACATGCGCCTTCTGCTGGGGGATTACAACTCTTGGAATGGGTATGTAGTTTGGCTTTCAAAGTTCTATGTTCAGGTGCTAACCTCCTCAGCCTTCATTCAAAACTGGCAAGGGCTTTATGCGTGTCGGCTACTGACCGGCTTTTTTGAGGCTGGATTAATCCCCTGCATCAATGTATACATTGCACTCGTATACAAGAAGAGTGAACGCGGAAAACGCTCTGCTTTAATCTTTGCATTTAGTGCCTTTTCGAGTGCGTTTGGTGGACTTCTCGCTTACGGGCTCACGCAGGTCCACGGGCCTAACGGGTGGGAAGGCTGGCGCTGGCTGTTTGCCATTGAAGGTGCCATGACTTTGATACTCGTGCCCCTTTTCTTTTTCGTGTTCCCAAAACATCCCACCACTGCCTGGTTTTTAAGCGCCGAAGAAAAGAGCATGATTCAAGCCCGATACGACAATGACCCTCATTGGGGACAGGATGAAGAATTCAGTTGGGCCGAGTCTCTAAGTGCTCTCACCGATCCTAAATGGTTTGCGTTTTGGATCTACCAGTTCAGCGTGGACATCTCTCTTTATGGATTCACGACTTTCCTGCCGAAAATCATTTCTGGGTTGGGATACTCCGGCGTACAAGCAAATCTGATGACAGTCCCAATCTACATGGTTGGCCTGGTGTGGTTCCTCATGATTGCATATTGTTCGGACCGGGCCAATACCAGAGGTCCGTTCCTGGCCGGGCCCCTACTATGTTTAATCATCGGTTACTCGATTCTCATTTCGGTGGAGAACCTGAGCGTCCGATACTTCGCGTGTTTTGGTAAGTTTAGAATCCCCTTTGACTCCATTTGCCATCCTTGGACTTAACTATTTTAGTTGTCGCTCTCGGCATTTATCCCACAACTGGTTTGTCGCTTATGTGGCTTCAAGACAACGCAGCTCGCCACTTCAAACGGGCTACGATGGTCGGTATGACACTCTGCTTTGGAAACACCGCGGGCGTCGCTGTCGGGCAGATATTCACCACAGAATCTGCTCCGCGGTATATAAAGGGGCTTTCAATCAGCCTGGGCCTTGCGGTGGTGGCATTAGTGATGGTCGGCTCGTTGATGACGGGGATGACTATAGTAAACAGAAAGAGAGCAGAGAGAATTCGCCGGGCCGAAGAAGCAGGTGAGGTGCTGGAAAGAAGACCGGAGAAAGGCGACTATGACGTATTTTTCCGATACTCTCTGTAATTAGTTCGTTGTCTTAATGAATTCTGGTTCTCTAAGGTAGGAAGTTGTCTTTGGTGCCCGAACCGTTGAAACTGCGTTTCTATGCAGCGATATAGGTGCCATGCGACAAAACCCCCTTTCAAGTATTGTAGATGCTTGGATGCTTGATTCTCCCTAGGGCTTAGATCGTTTCTTACAATATATCACAATATAGTTAACTCAATTACATACATACCTACATGTAGAAAATCGTCTGCAGAAAGCATTGCTTTTTATCGCCTTCATATAGATATAAATAGACATCTAAAAAGACACACGAGGCCTTGTAAGTTGCCAACTATTCTTATATCTATATACCACCACTTTTAGAGAGGGGTACTAGCTCTCTACTCTTTAGTATAACGTTGAAGTTATTTTCATACTCATAAGCTGTAAACCACACTAAAAAGTGGTCATATACAAACTGGTATTGTTAGATAGCATTGTTTTTGCATGCTATAGATGATCGACTGACAGAATCAGGGTACTTTACATATTAAGGCCTCTATAGTTAATAGTAATTCAAGTTTCTTAATTCAGGTATGATAATACTCGAAAAGGGCACCTATACCGCTGCATGCCTCAGGTGGATAGGCCCTCATTCCCTACCTGTTTAATGTTCCATCCTCTCTCTCTCTCTCCCTCTCTCTATAGCAGCGAACCCCATACAACCCATAGGTTTTTATTCCCTTAACAGTAACGCGTGGGCACGAGTGGGTCGTCACTCCACACTCCACACTCTTATCTCGTTCCCCGCAGATAACGCACTGTTTTTGTTTACAGCTTTCGCCTTCTCCATTTCCTCCATTTCGTCACCTCCATTTCGTCACGTCATCTGCTCTAATGGCATCCAGACACGGCCCCTTAGCCAAGCGGCAAAGGCGCATCTATGTAGCGTGAGATGTCCCGAATCCTATTCCTTCCTAGGCTGACAAGTAATGGTTCGGTATAGTTGTCGACGGTGTCACTCACAGAAGATCAAATGCTCGGGGACTCAGCCCTGTCAATCATGTTGCATGTCGCAAAATCGCGACCAGTGCGAGTTTCCTACACGAGACCGAAAGATATCGGTGTCTGAGACGTATGTTACTGAATTAAAGCTCTTCCGAATACGCCTGGAAGCTAATGAAATCGGATCCTAGATACATCAAAAAGCTAGAGGGAGAAGTCAAGGCTTTGAGAGCCCAAAAACAGCGGTTAAGAGCTTCATCTGATGTAGATGGGACAAGCTGTATTAATCAAGATTCAGTTCAGCCCTCGACTCAGTCCCCAGATATTGATGTTTCTAATCCTCTTCTTGAATCGCCCACTGGGTTCGTTGCCGCCAGGTCATCCTCACAGCCAATATTTATTGGTGAGGCTTCCTGCGTTGCCTTTGGGGACACCTTGCTCCAATGCGTTGACAAAGATGCCGATCTCTCATCGTGGGCATCTCCGACATACTTCCAACACGATATTCTTCATCGTCTAATGCGCCCAGAGGTGGCATTGCCCGACCGAATACAAGCTCGATTATTGGTGAAGGTTGCCATTAGATTCATAGGGACCGACTACCATTTAATTCTGAAGAAAACCTTTTTCGACACGCTGGACCGAACGTGTGCCGGGGAGATTCCCAGGAATCCTGCATGGATGTGTAAGTTTTTTGTACTTCTAGCGCTGGGTGAAATGTACTCGAACCGAAAAAGAAGGATGGCCGATCAACACGTACCGGGAACAGACTACTTCCTGCGTGCGGTTGGTTTATTGCAAGATCTATATGAAACCCCTTCAGTGGAGCAGGTAGAAGTTATGGTCCTTTTTGTGAGTCGATACATTCCAAGGTTCTCCGCGCTCTAACAATGGGCAGCTTTGCTGACGGCAATTCCATAGTGTTTTTATTCAAACGCTCTAGGGCGCGTCAAAACAGCGTACACCTATAGCGGTATTGCTACGAGAATGGCCATTGGATTGGGGCTTCATCGAAGTCTGCCCACAGACACCAAGCTATGCCCGGTGGATCGTGAGCATCGAAAGCGCGTCTGGTGGACACTTTACACGCTCGACCGACTATGCAGCTCCAACCTCGGATACCCTTTGCTTATAAGCGATGCTGTGATTGATGTTGAGCTTCCAACAAATGACGGCCTTGTTCCAGCCGAGTTGGAGGAATTTACCGATCCCAGTCACCTAGTCGCGAACGTTAAGCTGGCGAGAATCACAGGGCAAATTCGTAAAAGTCCCTTTTCACTTTAGGCCGTCGTCCGCATCACTAATGAGCTTCATCCTAGTTAATGACATATATTGCCTCCCACAAAGAACTACAGAAACCTTTGTGCAAAGGGTGCATCGGATTCTTCTGAGTCTGCGAAAATGGAATGATGAACTCCCATCAACGCTACAACTACGCCAAGAGCATTTGCCTCGACATATTTCCAGTCTTCATCTTCATTATAATCAATGTGTGATTTCGACAACGCGTCCGATTCTATTATATCTTTTCAAGAATCGCTTTTCACTGAGCGCTACATCTGCCGAAGCCCCGCCCAGGGTCTTTTCCCCTACTACCCTTGCCCTGGCAGAAAGCTGTGTGCAGGCCGCACGGGCATCGAATTCCATCCTGTCAAAACTGTTTGTTGACGGATCTCTAGCGTCATTTGGATACTTTGATGCGCACTATCTCTTCTCCTCCACTCTCATCTTGGTCATGTCTGCAGTCATGGACCCAAACGTGGGCATGTCAGATGCTGTCTCATATGCTTTCACTATACTCCGAGCTATGAAGGAAGATGGCAATCTTCCTAGCTTCGACTACTATGAGAGACTACAGCGTACCCGAGCAAGTGTTGGAAAGATGAGAGAAGCCAACGAAGCAAGGTGCCGTGTATCCGCGGCTCACAATGGAAGCACAACGCAACAGGAAAAACTGGTTCATGATGCTGATGGATCGGCCCTAGGCTTTGTGGACGGAGTTCCCCTAGATCATCCTCTTATAGATAGTTTTCTGGCAGATAAAGCGTTGGTCTGGCCAGACGGAATGACCCCTCAGGATGACTCTTTAAGAGACCTGGTATGCGAGCTAGGAGATGAGTTTTTGTTTGGCTCGGCCTGAGTTTGTTGACTTCAAGAAGGGTATTATTTCCAGACCTTCTTCCACCTGTGACAGGTGATGAATCTTCAATACTCATTAATATTCCCACTTGATAAGCTTATTTCAAAATATCGGTGGCCCATCCGAAGGTAATCTCGATATCTCGGTAAGAACGCCGAACTCGGGCAATGTACCCGACCTGATTTATCTTGGGCGTAGGCTCGTCAAATTTCCAAATGTGTATATTTGACCTTGACGGCTGAGCCTGCCGGATTACTGCTGCCTTGTCGGCTTAACTTGATTAGCCCGACTAACAAAGGCACTCGAGTGCTCAAGAGTCTACTTCGACTGCTCAATCTATGCACATATAATATTCGCCTTGGCTAATCCTACCTTCCACGTATGAACTATATCGAAGTTCATGATGGCTTCTGCGGTTGTCACTCTGCTTGGGAAGCTCATGCAAATCCCATCTATTAGCAACGAGGAACACGACATCGGTTTGTTTCTTGAACAGCATCTCCAGGGCTTAGGTTATACCGTTGAACGTATCCCAATTACTCCGGATAGTCGCCGTTGCAATGTATACGCCTACCTAGGCTCATCGCGCAAAACACGAATTTGTCTGACATCTCACATGGACACCGTCCCTCCACATATCCCTATGAGACTGACGCCGACTACAATTTACGGACGGGGCTCATGCGACGATAAGGGCCCATTGGCCGCCCAAATTATTGCACTGGAAGAGCTACGTGCTGAAGACCGTGTCCAGCCTAGTGATGTATCACTTCTTTTTGTCGTGGGAGAGGAGAAAGGTGGACCGGGAATGATCGCGGCCAATTCAATGAACCTGTCATGGGAGGCTGTCATATTTGGCGAGCCGACCGAAGGAAAACTCGCAGTGGGACATAAAGGGCATTTCGTTTTTGAGCTCACAAGTGAGGGAGTTCCAGCGCACTCGGGCTATCCGCAGCGAGGACGGAGTGCAATCTCCGTGATGACCGCTGTTCTGGCAGCGCTTGGGCGAACAACGTACCCATCATCTGACATAATTGGACCGTCCACCTTTCATTGTGGCCAAATCACAGGGGGGGTCGGATACAATATCCTTGCTGCGGAATGTACTGCACTATGTGCGATCCGAGTTGCAAGCGACTTACCCAAGATTGAGCGACTAGTGGAAGCTATCGTTTCAGAGCATGAATATGTCCGCCTGGATAAGAAATTCATGTATCCAGAGCTGTACTTAGATCACGATGTACCGGGTATGGGTACGATGCCTGTCGCATTTGGGACTGACGCTCCGCGGTTGAAGGGAGAACATAAGAAGTACCTGTATGGACCGGGCTCTATCTTGGTTGCCCACGGAGATAATGAGAGTATCGAAATTAGGGAGCTTATTGAGAGTGTTCAGGTGTACAAGCGGATCGTGGAGCGCTGTCTTGGATAAGTAAAAGGCGTATGCCGATATTGCCGACTTTCATAGATCGGCAACAGGAGCATCTTGCCGAGATGTCAGATAACATTTGACCCCGCAGAATTTGGGATAAATAAATTGTTTCCTCTATACTACTTTTTTTCTTTTGCCCGGGGAGATTTAAAATCGATTTTTTATTCTTTGGAATGGCACACTCAGTTCTCAGCGACCTACCCGTCCTTCCGTTGGCCGAGTCATTTGCGCTGACGGAGGCCTACAATCTCGATACATTCCCAGAAAAGGTCAATCTTGGCCAAGGGGTCTATCGCGATGAAGAATGCCAGCCTTGGATTTTGCCCAGTGTTCGAAGTGTAGGTATAGCCCAATAAGTTTTGCCGGGCGCCATCTCATATTATTATTACAGGCAGAGGAGTTCCTGCACAGGCAACATCTCAACCACGAATATCTTCCAATACAAGGAGCCGCTCAATTCACCAAAGAGGCTCGGAACTTGCTCTTCGGTCCTCAATTGGCCCGGAACAAAAATATAACCAGCGTACAAACAGTCGCTGGAACAGGCGCGAACCACCTTGCTGCGCTATTCTGTGCTCGCTATCTGCGCCCCAAGAATGTATTTATTTCCGATCCCACCTGGGATAATCATCATCTTATCTGGGAGACTGCCGGGCCGGATATCAAGCGCAAGCTTTACCCCTATTATGACCCCTTAACGCGGTCACTCGACTTCGACGGCATGATCGCCGAGCTAGAAAACTCAGCAGAAGAAAACGACGTTGTGATCTTACACGCTTGTGCCCACAACCCAACAGGGATTGACCCGACACATACGCAATGGGAGAAAATCGCGGAGATTGTTGCCAAAAAACGCCTCTTTGTGGTTTTTGATAGTGCGTATCAGGGCTTTGCTTCAGGCGACCTGGATGCTGACGCCTGGGCTATTCGATACTTCTACTCGACTCTTTTCGGAGATGACTCCTTACCAACATCAGGTACCCCAGCAGGTATGATTGTCTGCCAATCTTTTTCGAAGAATTTTGGACTGTACGGCGAGCGAATCGGAGCATTACATCTTGTCACTCCGCCTTCCGTTTCACCTCAGGGTGCATATACACATCTAATTCGACTGATTCGAGCCGAGATATCTTGTCCTTCTCTTTTTGGCGAGCGTTGTGTGCACACTATCCTGACAGACCTGGAGCTTCGCTCGAAGTGGGAAGAAGATGTGAAAACCATGGCGTCACGAATCCAGGGTGTGAGGATGTCATTAAAGTTAGAACTGGAGGACATAGGTGCGCAAGGTAACTGGGATCATATCGGGCGCCAGATTGGAATGTTCAGTTATACCGGTTTGTCCAAGACCCAGGTCCATCGACTGAAAGAGGTTCATCATGTCTACATGTTGGATAATGGGCGAATGAGCTTGAGCGGGTTGAATGGGAAAAACGTGGCATATGTAGCCCGCGCAATCAAGGAGGTGGTCGATCGGGATTAGGGTATGGCCTTTAAACACTATCAAAATACCAAGAAAAGTCGAACCCCAGTGTATCTTATATCATTCACATTTAAAAGTGAAGCATTTCACCTTGAAAGTAACATTGAAATTTATAAAACCAGAGTGGGATCGCTACATAAATTACATATCGAATGAGAGAGTTATGCCCCGGCGATACTAATCACCAGGAACCCTCTATGCATTCTCCAACTTCTCTCCTTTTGCCGTTTATGTGTACCTGATTGATGTAATTAATATACAGTAATTCTCGCAAAAAGCAAGCTTTCTTCTGATGAAATCATTCATTTGATGAACTATCCCACAAGTTTATTTTAAGTAGAGGTCGATATATTCCTTGACGGATAGACCAAGTATTCCTTTCTCATAATTCCACGTTGTAGACAAGTCCCAAGACACGCCACGGCCTTCTCCAAAGACAACTTGGTATTTGTAAATTGCGTTATCCGGTTCATTTGCAAGATCGGACTGTGCCGCCTGGACTGTTCGTAGAGTTCTCTGAACAGGGTTTCCAATGGTCTTCTCTAATAATAGAGCCAGATCCGCATAGCTGACGGTATCACCAGCAACATAAATTGCCTTATTGCTGAAAGCTTCCTTATGCTTGGAATCAAGCACAATTTCGGCAGTGATTTTCCCGATATCCTCGGGGGCCGTGACGGTGACTTTTGTATCCCAGCTACCCAATGCGCACACAACATTGTCTTTCAAATTGACCACACCAAATGACGGCTCAAAAAGGAAGCTGATAAACATTCCGGTGGAAATTATCAACCATCTAGTGCTGGTCTGCGAGCGCAATAGATCGCGCACCTCTAGCTGTTCATCGAAGAGGTCTTGTGCGGATCCTCGTCCGATAATATCATAGTCGACTCCGAACTGCCATGGGATATAGCGCGGAACTTTAGCAGCCAGCACTGCATGGACTAATTTGCGTTGGGTACCTCGTCCGGCAGCGAATCCTGTACAGCCGATGATTGTATCATAGTCGCGAAAGATTCGGGAAAGGGATTCTTGCGAATCATGTGTGAGATCGCCGGAAATAGTCAAAATATTCAGCTCATGTAACATGGAAATCTGATATGCCTTGTCCTGGTCTTTTGAGGAAATACTGGATGGTCGCAACAAGGCAGTAATGGTGATGTTGTTTAGGTGGGGGTGTTTAGCTAGTGAGAGCAACACCTGCGTGCCTAGCTCTCCTGCACCCAAGACAAGAATATTCTTGATATCCGACATGATGCGTAGGAATGGCCAAGGAAACAAAATATCAATTGCATCGGGAATCGGGTTTATATATGACGAAACATCCATGGATTGGGGCCCTGATTGATAATCCCCCCACATCCCCGGGGCCATATTTCCCCTTGGCATCGGTGTTTATAATTAACTCCGACACGGAGTAAATATGAAAAAATTTGGAATTTATATACCTTTGGGTTGGAGATACGTACATTCCGGAATTCAGCGACTAGGCTTCACTAACTACGGTAGGGGAAGATTAGGTATGTTCTGCGGGTAGCATTTCGTCCTGGTAGTCATAGAGTTACATCGTTCTGGCAGTAGTGCTTTTTCGTGGGGCATTGAACGTCTCAACTATAAATGGCGTCCATCATCCATCGTAGCGAATGCCTATAGGTATTTGTTAGCCTGATATAGAAATCTACTTTGATATATCCGACGTTTCTCTGCCGGTAGCATACCTTAGTTCTTGGCGATATTTTAGTGTCGTGGAAATCGTCTGATGATTGACCATCACAACTGTGCCTCTTCGGTACATAAGCAGCCACCATCTCGAGTCGGACAGTGTGAGTATGCAGATCCTTATTTCAAGATCCAAGTCTCCACACAGGTCGCTATCCTTGGACAGGTGACTACTCAAGGCCGGAAGGTCGACTGTCTGGTCGTATCCCCATACTAAAAAAGATTGTCTATTTCGGTCACAACTTTGGTTCCTTGATATCCAACGGCTTAGTTGCTTCTGAGCCTGGGTTGTCAGACGGCATCGCGCTCACGGGGTTCAGCCATGATACATCTTTCACAAGTTTGGAACTTTGCTTAGAATTTCAGTTGCCGAGCTTGAATAATGAGGCTCGGTTCCATGACCTAAAATTCGAAGAATTCTTCGAATTTTTTTCAGATCTACCAGCATCGCGTGTTGGGTCTACAGTTGAGCTATTCTTAACACGGGCAACAGCTCATTTATAAACTAGCAATTGCCCTATCAATCATACAAGGTGAGCAGATACAATGCTTTTGAAAAAAAAAAAAAAAGGAATTCAAATCAAGGACTGGCCTGAGGATCCCTCTGTTGTTCCGACACCTTAGCAGCCGCAACAATTCCATCTATACCACCTCTCCGATATGTGTTCAGAAACAAAAGCCCTGCAACAACAACATTGGCCCCAGCGAATGCAATCATAACTTGAAAACCATCATTATATCCTCTGCCATACACCTGTCGCACATGCATAAGCTGGTCCCCGCTAAACCCACTAAACCCACTGGCAGTATTTAGTGATTCCTTAGCTAGGCGGATAAGTTCCGGGTTTCCCGAGAGAACCTTTGGCAGATCATCGTCAAGCCGGGAGCTTAACATCGCGTCGCAGACCGCCAACCCGATACATCCTCCCATCGCACGTAGCATGTTCATCGCACCTGTTCCCGTCGCCGTGTCACGTTTTGGAAACGTTAACTTCAACGCAACGTACTGGGTCGAAGAGAGGGCACCAAGACCTGATCCCATGAGGACCTCGTACCCGTATTGTCTGTCAGAAACTGCGTGATCTACAGATAGGTCACTGAAGCAGGCTGTTGCTGTCAGGACTAGGGCCGCGCCGAATATGAGGATAGAATAAGCCATCTCGGGCTTTTTGGCAAGTATTGCGCCGGAAATCAGTGAGAATAAGGGAAGAGTCAATGTGAGAGTGAGAAGTAGCACACCGGCTCGGGATGCGCTGACGTGGTTGACGGCCTGGAACCTTTGTGGGAGGATTATTATCGCGGTGTAAAAGGCGAATCCCATAAGTAGAACGTTCCTGGTACAATTGTATGTTGAGTGAACGAGGTTTGCACAAACCTTTCGCGTTTAGTAGACTTACAGTAGCAATAATCCCTGCATAGGGTCACGGATGAACTTGACAGGGAATATAGGTTCTCTCGCGCTGTTTTGGTGCTGGAGCCATGTTTCATACGCAGCAAATATAATCAGAGCCACGATCCCCCCGACTAACGTACCGATTATCTCGCTACTACGCCAGGAATAGTGGGACCCACCTTCCTGGAGGGCAAAGAGAATCGGGATCAACCAACAAATTGAGAGAAACGAGCCGACAAAATCAAGCTTCTTGAAGATTTGACGGTTGAACTTGACCTTCGACGAGGGAATCGCGCACCCTAAGATCAATGTCGCGATGGATGCGAGGGGGATACTGTCTTGGTCAGCTGGTGTGGATTCCTCCCGATAGGCCTGCGTTGGGTGCGTACTTGATATAGAATATCCACCGCCACGTCGTATTGTCCACAATGACACCTCCTAGTATCGGGCCTAAGAGGTTAGACAGCGCGAAGACTGAGCTGATAATACCAGAGTATAGACCGGCCTTCTCGAGGGAGATCAATTGGAGGATTGCGACGAAAACGAGGCAGTAAAGACCTGATGCTCCAATACCCTGGCAGGCGCGAAATATAATTCTTTTTCGTTGCTAGTCAGCTGGATTCATAAAACGACCAAGACACTTCAGGTTCTCACAGTTGGTCTATTGTCCTAGATACACCAGAAGCAATGGAAAAGACGAGAAACATGATGTTTGAGGCGAGGAGCAGGGGTTTGAGTCCCACCAGATCGCTAAGCTTTGCGAGGAGGAGAACGAACGCTATAGCGAGAATTGAGAGGGTGTTTTTAAGGTGCAGATGGTGGGGCTGTTACCATTGTACGTTAACAGATACGATGTCACAATCCAGGCTGACTGACTGGTGCTATTGAAGCTGTTTGAGATATCGAAGACCGCAGTCGAGATGATTGTGCTGTCGAGGGCGGCGAGAAAGAGTGAAATCCAGAGGCTGCGAAGAATGAGTAAACTGGAACTTCTAATTGAGACAAAGCGAATACGTACCCAAAGACTACAATGTTAAGTCGTAGAGAGGAGATGGATGCGTGAAGCCCAGAGGGCTCCTGCATTTCCGCGCCCTCCAGGCTTCTTTGGCCTTGTTGTAATTTCTGTGATTCCTCTGCTTCACTCCCTTCAATTCGCTGGCTGTTTTGGTTTTGGGACTTGTTTAATTCACCTGGCCCTTGCGCCGAGTGCTGTTCCTGTTTGACTGGATCCATCCTACTGTTCTGCGTATTCAGATAGGGAAATCGGAGGTGCATCTCCTCAGAATTAAGGGCAATTTACGACCCCTGGGTCGCCTCATTCTGTTGCAAGCGGTACGGTCGGAGTCGGATGAAATGTCGAAAGATTGTCCGGTGCGCTAGTAGGGATATATCCCTGTCGGTTGTCTACGCTGATGCCTAATGATAGTGCTCACCACTAGTGTCTCGGTGTCTCATAATATCTGAAGCCTAAAGCGCACTCAGTATCTAAGGATCAGGATTCAAGTATGACTATCACAGTGCATAGGGACTTTGGTCCTATTGGGTTTTAGGATTAACCGCTTGTGTCTCCTTCGCGGTAACTACTCTTTATACTAATTATTCTATTGACCTAGATTTAAGGCGAGGGAGTTAATTATATAGAAGCAGAATAGTCGGCCGCTTATATGACCTCCATAATCAACGATATTATGTTGAGGATCGCATTTAATTCCTAGTAGTTAACATGGTACTGGGGGTCCTTCAACACTAACCTCAGCTTGATGTTACACGTACGCCTTGCAATGCATGCCATGAATCCCGAACTCCCACGGAGTTAAGAGTAGCGGGATTAATGCAGTCCCTCATCACTAGTTCCTGCATACAATTTGCATGATGTTGTATTGCATGAATGCATTTCCTTTCGGGCTGCTTTCAGTCAACGAACTCTGACAGAATTAACCTTTTTTCCTCATTACAAATATAGATTTATAGTAAGGAACTCTTGCATTTACAGAAGTAGAAGGGAAGTCCATCAAGTTTGCTATTCCAAGTATGAAGGGTTGACACAGTTTACAATTTGGTCCCTGGCACAAGTCTTATGGTTCCAATTGATTTGCGGTTGGTTTCCACCCAAGATTTACATGGCTGCGTAGTTTCATGTACTCAACATATAGTGCATAATCTAAATATTTGAGTGTTTTATGGTGATATTACAGAGATTATAATTACGATTCCATTAACGTATTTCACAAGCGAACCAGCCACACAAGCGAGCCCGCCACCCCAAAACACCATAGTAAATGCGATATATTACAACTTGATATCTTAACAATAGCGGCCTATATGGATATTTCCTTATAGCCTAATACTTTTTAGGTAGTTTCTAGCCTCTCTAGGGAGTTAGGAAATATATATAACTTTGTGATTACGATATATATATTTCTACTTTTTAGCAACGTAATTTTCGGTAATTTTTGGAATAATATTTAACGTATTTCGCTTCCGAGCCGCCTACCCCGAAAACATATAATAAATGCGATATTCTATAACCTTATATCTTAATATCCGCGTTTTTGGTTTGATTTCGTTGTATATCGATAGCTATCGATAAGAAATTTAAATACTATATATCAACCTTAAGAAAATCGAAGAGGTGTATTATTATGTCTAGGTCATCTCCAGTCTTTTCCCCTCATTCTTCTCTCCGGTAGAGGGAATTGGGGAAAATATTAATTTTATTAGCTGATCTAATGTTTCAGAATACCATGCAGAGCATGAGGTCTAGCGCACAGTAGGGTCATTTAGCGCTGGCCTTTAGCGCTGGCCCCCGATGAAGGGGACGGACGGATGTCGGTCCATACGGCTGAGTATACATGGGTAGTGGTGAATGAACCCTCCACGAATAATTACGTGTCACCACTTAGTATAGACTATGCAGACTATGTAGACTTGGAACTTAGAGAAAAGCGTTAAAAAAATACAACTACTATATATATCTATACTTGGTTCTCGGTTTTCTGCTTCATCCTGCATGCATCATTATATTTCCATAATATAGAGCAGAGAGGATGGCAACTTGTCCCAATGAACCTATCGCAATCATCGGCAGCGGTTGCCGCTTTCCGGGAAGCGCGAGTAGTGCATCTCGCCTCTGGGACCTGCTGCGAGACCCCCGAGACTGTCTGACTGAGATCCCGAAAGACCGATTCAACTGGGAAGGTTACCACTACGCAAACGGAGCACATCATGGAAGCAACTCAGCAAAATATACCTACTTTTTGGAGGAAGATATCCGCAAATTCGACCCGCAATTCTTCAACATCCAGCCAGGAGAGGCAGAGGCAATTGACCCGCAGCAACGATTGCTCCTGGAGACCGTCTATGAGGGGCTAGAGTCTGCTGGTTTGCCACTTGAAAGCCTTCAAGGTTCCTCGACAGCCGTTTATGTAGGTATGATGAACTGCGACTACAATGAGGTGATGCAGCATGATATAGATTGCGCGCCGACCTATGTGGTCACCGGTACCTCACGCAGCATTCATTCAAACCGTATCTCCTACTTTTTTGACTGGCATGGGCCATCTATGACTATTGACACTGCGTGCTCTTCTAGCATGATGGCTGTTCACTTGGCTGTGCAGTCGCTCCGAAGTGGAGAGTCGTCGGTGGCTGTTGCCTGTGGTGCAAGTTTGATTATCACCCCCCGTATGGCTCTTTCTCTCTTCTTATCATCTCACCTCCTGCGTAAGACCTAGCTGAATCTAGATTTTAGAGAACTACGTCATCCTCAGTAATCTGAGCATGATTTCTCCCGACGGCCGTGCAAAGATGTGGGATGCAAGTGCAAACGGGTACGCCCGAGGCGAAGGTGTTGGCGCCATTGTGTTAAAAACACTAAGCGCAGCAATCGCAGATGGCGATCCAATTGACTGCATTATCCGCGAAACCAGCGTCAACCAGGACGGCCGCACACGCGGTATCACCATGCCGAGCAGTACAGCCCAGGCGGACCTAATTCGAAAGACATACCAGCGGGCAGGACTGGATATCACCAAACGAGATGATAGACCTCAATATTTTGAAGCTCATGGGACTGGGACAATGGTTGGAGACCCGAGGGAGGCTGAGGCGGTGCATAATGCCTTCTTTGATGGACGCGAGGAGGGCCTTGGGGAGGATGATGCCATCCATATTGGGTCTATCAAGACTGTCATTGGCCACACCGAGGGTACTGCTGGTCTTGCCGGATTGCTCAAAGCGGCTCTCGCGATTAAATATGGCTATATTCCGCCAAACATGCTGTTCAACCACCTGAACCCGGCGGTGGCACCTTATGTAAAGCATCTTCGCCTAGTTACAGCTCTGAAGCCATGGCCAATACTTGTCAGCGGTGCACCGAGACGGGCAAGCGTTAATAGTTTTGGTTAGTAACACCCCCCAGTATTTGGCCCTCAAGTTTGAGATAATTGTTAACCACCACACGACGATAGGCTTTGGTGGTGCAAATGGACACGCTATCCTGGAAAGCTATGAAGACACGAGGTGTGCTCACACAAAGTCTGACAAGCAAACATCAACAGTGGCAACGCCATTTGTGTTCTCGGCTCAATCGGAGCGGACCCTCGTGTCAATGCTACAGAACTTCTCCGAGTATCTCAAGTCTTGTGCCGAGATGGACCTGCGCAGTATCGCTTCAACTCTGCAATACAAACGATCAACATTCAGTGTGCGAACAGCAATCACGGCACTCAGCATGGATGATCTTCTATCTAAACTGAATACTAAGCTGTTGAGCTCGACGGAAACTCCGGTCGGTATCAAGTCACCTCTCAAACATGACGCACGAATCCTCGGTGTTTTTACAGGACAAGGCGCACAGTGGGCGGGTATGGGTCAGAAGCTACTTCAAACCTCTCCTAGAGCCCGTGAGATAGTACAAGACCTGGATAATGCACTGGCAAGCCTTCCACAAGAGCACGACCGTCCTTCATGGACAGTACAAGAAGAGCTTGTGAAGTCCCCAGATGACAGCCGTATTAGGGAAGCAGCCATCTCCCAACCCCTTTGCACTGCCATCCAAATTTTGCTTGTTGACATGTTACATAGTGCCGGCGTCAAATTACATGCCGTCGTAGGGCACTCGTCTGGTGAAATTGGCGCTGCATACGCGGCTGGCTTCATCACGGCATCTGATGCCATCCGCATCGCTTACTATCGTGGCATTTACGCAAAGCTCGCAGGTGGACAAGAGGGGCAACATGGAGCAATGATGGCAGCTGGAATATCACCCAGTGAAGCCAATGAGCTATGTGCAGCACCCAAGTTCCACGGGCGTCTTTCAGTGGCTGCGTGTAACTCTTCTGCAAGCGTCACCATCTCTGGAGACTATGATGCCATTAACGAGGCGAAATTGGAACTCGATGAGCATAAGAAATTCGCCAGGGTGCTAAAAATAGACACGGCTTACCACTCGCACCATATGCTACCTTGCGCAAAACCCTACCTTGATGCATTGCAATCGTGCGATATTCGCCCAGTATCACCCGTAAAGGAAGGCTGTTCACCCGTTTGGTTTTCTAGTGTCCATGCTGGTGAGCTCATGTCAAAAGCTCGCTCTGGGCTCTCCGGCGAATACTGGGTCGCCAACATGACACAGCCGGTTCTTTTTGCTGGCGCACTGGAGGCTGCACTTAGCACAACAGAGGGGGCAATCGATCTAGGAATCGAAGTCGGCCCACACCCTGCCCTTCGATCTCCCACTCTGCAAACAAGCCAGGACATGGGCGTGACCAAGATCCCATACAGTGGAGTCCTAGCTCGGGGAAAAGACGATCTCAGTGCGTTTTCAGAGGCACTGGGGATGCTGTGGACCTACTGTGAGCGTGGCACAATCGACTTCGCCCGCTTCGACCAGACGTTCTTCTCCAACGCAACCAAGGTATCATTTGTACGGGAGATTCCAACCTATCCATGGGACCATGAACAATCCTACTGGTTCGAGTCTAGGAAGGAAAGGGCCGGGCGCAACCGACCTGGGCCGGTGCATAGCTTACTGGGCGTTCGCTATGGTGATACCACAGATACCGAGCTCAAATGGCGAAACTTCCTCATTCCCAAGAAGTTACCATGGCTCTCCGACCATCGTCTTCAGGACCGGGCGGTGCTTCCCGGTGCAGCATATGTGGTGATGGCATGTGAGGCGGCCTTATTGAAGACGCAAGCTGGGAAGGTGCGACTTATTGAGGTCAGTGACTTGACTATTAATCGGGCCATCTCGTTCGACGAAGAGACCACAGGTATTGAGGTCGTTTTTACCTTGTCAAATTTTGAACAGACACGGATAAACAGCGGCTCAGACAAGGAAACGTTTAGTGCGAACTGGATGGTACAATCTCCGACGAACAAGGAGACAGACAAGTTGGGCTTGGTTGCTAGTGGATGTGTTTCATTGCTCTTAGGTCCATCAGAGCCTAGTGTGCTTCCGGGTCGTGCTTCGGAGGATGCCCTGCCAAATATGGTTTCTGTCGATGTGGATGAATTCTACACCGGACTTTACAAGCTCGGGTACGGGTATACTGGGGATTTCCGGTCTATTTCCCGCTTGGAGCGCAAGATGGAGCACTCATCCGGTTGGTTTGAACCTCAAGCACCAATTGAGGATGCGATTGTGCATCCTGCGTTGTTGGACGTCGCATTCCAGGCCTTGTTTGCGGCCGTTAGCTACCCCGGCGATGGTGGGCTTTGGAGTCTACACGTGCCAACTGAAATTCGCGCAGTCAGGATCAATCCATACCATTGCCACCAGTCTGAAATACTTTCATTTGATGGCACTTTCCCGAATTCCTCTCACACTGGAGACGTTACTATATATACCAATACAGGAGACGCTTTTATCCAGGCCGAGTCCGTCTCTTCGGTGCCCTTCACAAAGGCGACCGAAGCCGACGATCGCAACATTTTCTCTGAAGAGGTCTGGGCACCGATAGACCCCGATGGGAGTTCTGTGATAGAGGCACGAACTACAGCCGAGGACATAGAGCGTGCCTATGCATGTGAACGAGCAGTCCACTTCTACTTGAAGAAACTCAGATCGGAGGTGTCGGCCCTGCAAGAGCGCAATGCCGCGTTGCATCACCAAAAGCTACTGGCTTGGGCTGGCCACCTGATTTCAGAGGTGGCCAGTGGTAAGCGACCACATTGCGAGGCTGAGTGGGCAAGCGACACGGAAGAAGAGATACAACGGATATTCGACAGATACCCCGACGATATTGACTTGAAACTCATCAAATCCATGGGACAAGCTTATCCGTCTATTGTTCGAGGCGAGACAAATTCCATGGAGCATCTCGTCAAGGATGACATGCTGGACGCATGGTATACCGAAGGGCTCGGGTTTTCCGATGCTAACGCCTGGACTGCGCGCCTTATCAAGCAAATCTCACATCGGCATCCTCACATGAATATCATTGACTTGGGTCGGTCTCCTCCCGTCTAATTTATTACTATCGTCTAACAATAAGAGTCAGGAGCCGGCACTGGAGGGACAACCAAGATCATCCTCGACCATCTTGGTCCTGCCTTCAAATCTTATACGTACACTGATGTCTCGACAGCTTTCTCCGACAAGGCACAGGAGAGGTTTAGTGCCTTTGCTAACAGGATGATCTTCAAGTCCTTCAATATCATGAATGAACCAAAGAGCCAGGGATACGAGGAGCACTCGTACGACCTTGTAGTCGCTTTGAACGTCATTCACGCTGCCAAGGATATGGGAGAAGCCCTACGGCATGTTCGCTCACTGTTAAAGCCAGGTGGATACTTAATGCTTCTCGAGCTGACAGACCCGCAGCCTAGCCGAATCGGGTTCCTGATGGGTGGTCTCCCTGGTTGGTGGCATAGCCAGGGAGAAAACAGGATGTGGGCGCCAACATTATCCACGGCGCAGTGGCATTCTCTATTGCAGAGAACAGGGTATTCGGGACTTGATACACTTGCCATGTTCGCCCAAGATAGAGTTGCCTATCCCTTCTCGGTCTCTGTCACGCAGGCAGTTGATGATCGTGTTGCTTTCCTTCGACAGCCCCTTTTTTCGAGGACTACGGAGGTACCGGGCGCAGAAATGGACGATCTTCTCATTGTTGGAGGAGCAACGCTAGAGACTGCCAGGCTGTCCACAGATGTCCAATCCATGGTTAGCCAGCGTTTCCGCATGATAACAACGATCGAGACACTGGAGGAAGTTAATGGCCTCTTTGGAGATGATGACCTACCGACCACAATCCTTGTACTGACTGAGTTGGAAGCCCCCATTTTCAAGGGGATGACTGCCAGTCGCCTACAGGCCGTGAAGGCGCTCTTCACAAATTATCACAATTTGCTCTGGGTCACCCGTGGTTGCAAGAGTACAAAACCCTACAACAATATGACGATTGGACTAGGTCGGTCTGCCATCAATGAGCAAAAGGAACTCCGACTACAGTTCCTCGATGTTGAAGAGAGCTCTACTACAGTAGGACTGGACGCTCGGCGTCTGTCTGAGATGCTCTTGCGTCTCCGTGTCACTCAACTCTGGGAACGCGAAGGCCTTCTTGACCAGATCCTGTGGACGACTGAGCCTGAATTTTGTATGAGCAAAGATAATCGTCTGTTGGTTCCACGACTGTACCAACAGAAGGCCCAAAATAATCGGTACAACTCCAAGCAGCGACAGATATCGTATGAAGTCTCACCGGCCACCGACAGGGTCTCCATCGCTTACTCGGAGCCATTAAAAGTTTTCAGACTTCTCACCGAAACCGCCCCCAGGGTTCCTTTGTCCCAAGTGCACTTTGTATCTATGCAGGTGCTGTATTCCACTCTCTCGGCGCTCAGGCTGCCAGGCGGGCAGTATCTCTTCCCTGTCATCGGCAGGTGTATAGACACCAATGAAACCGTCTTTGCTCTTTCAGCGTCAAATACATCGCTTACTGCGGTCCCAAAGGAGTATGTTGTCTCCGTCAAGGTGGCATCTGGTGAAGAGAAAATTCTACTTCTTCGACTGGTCTGGGAGTTAACGGCCCATGCTACCATCTCTAATGCCACCGCAGGCGAAGTAATCTTGACTCTGGGAGTTGGCACAGAGCTCCTCGAGATTCTACGATCTCATGCCGATCAGCGCGGTATATCCATACTTGCAATTACCGATGACCCGCGGTTCAAGGGGGATGTCCGACACATTTTCATCCACCCTCTGGGGTTTAAAAAAGTGCTGAAGGCTAAATTGCCCTCTAATATATCGTCATTCCTGAATCTGTCCTCCTCAGACCCCACTAAGAATAGCTTGCATATGCGTCTGACCTCCGCTCTTCCGGCATTCTGCCAGGTTCACACTTCAACTACATTGTTTTCACCAACTTCCCTTTTCTCAAGTACCTATGTTCAGGGTGCATTACAATCCTTCCTGCATGATTTGCTTGCGGGAGTGCCGCAAGAGGCATATCAAGGAGTTTCTGATAAATACGGACCTCACGCCGATAGCCTCACGCGTACCATCAGACAAGTGCCCCAGCTTAGCCCAGCAGATGAAGAAGTATTTGCCATCGTCGACTGGCATTCCGATAATACTGCTCTCGTTGAGGTCGCACCAGTGGATCATGGAATCTCGTTCCTAGCAGACAAGACATATCTCCTTGTTGGACTAACCGGAGATCTCGGACAGTCGCTTTGCGAATGGTTCGTCAAGAATGGAGCTAGGAATATTGTTTTGACCAGTAGGAATCCCAAAGTTGAGCAAAAGTGGCTTGATATCATGGAGGCTGCCGACGCGACCGTCAAAATATGTGCGATGGATGTCACAAACAAGGCATCAGTAACAGCCGTCTACGAGGAGATCCGTCAGATCCTTCCGCCCATTGCTGGAGTGGCAAATGCAGCCATGGTTATGCAAGATATCATGCTATCGAACATGGAGCTTGATGATCTAATAACTGTGATGAAGCCCAAGGTGGACGGCAGTCAGTATCTTCACGAGGTGTTTGGTGACAATCATCCACTCGACTTTTTCATTTTGTTTTCTTCACTGAGCTATGTGCTTGGGAATGGTGGACAGAGCAGTTATGCTGCGGCCAATGGCTACATGGCATCATTGGTGGGCCAGAGAAGGGCACAAGGACTGGCCGGCTCTGTCATGCACATTGGCGCCATTATTGGAGCCGGATACATTACGCGCGCTGGTCAGCTGAAGTCCGGGGATTTAGCTGCGTTTGGATCCTACCCTCTCTCGACCGCGGACTTCCATCAAATATTTGGGGAAGCTGTGCTGGCTAGTCCTCCTCACTCGGGGCGAAAGCCAGACATTGTCACTGGCCTTCGAGTGATCGACCCGGAGATCGATGATCGCGTGCTCTGGCGGTCGAACCTCAAATTCTCCCACTTCTTGAAGTTCGAAGAACAGATGAAGACCAGTGGGGATACGAAACGGTCCGTGGCGCCTGTCAAGGTCCAGCTGGCCGAGGCGACAACCACAGCGCAGGCTAGGAAAATCATCCAAGGTATTCGATTTGGCGACTCTCTTCCATGTTTCGGATGTCTAACTTGAACATATTTAGAATGCTTCTCCGCCCGATTGGTTGTTCTGCTTCAACTCAAAGCGGATGATATGGACGACAATGTCGCTCTTGTTGAGCTCGGAGTAGACTCTCTCGTCGCAGTCGAGGCACGATCCTGGTTTACAAGGCACTTAAACGTCGATGTCTCCGTCTTGCGTATTCTGGGAGGCGCATGTGTCGTTGACCTTGTGGAGGATACACTGGGACGCATAGGATCGGAGCTCCTTCCCAAAGTCAAGTCCGCCGTGGATGAGGAACAGCCGGTAGTTATCCACAAGATCTCGACAGAAGATGAAGGATGCTCCATTGGCCATGCCTCGTCTTCGGTTCCAATCGTAGAATTGACTGACGACACTATTTCATCTCAGGATGACCGTGATACGCCAATAACCCCCGACTCAGAGCTCGATGAGAATCAGATAAAATTTGAGCCTGTTGTGGTTAGAAAAGAGCAGATGTCCTACGCCCAGTCCCGTTTCTGGTTTTTGCGACACTCCTTGGAAGACAAAACCGCATTTAATATCACTTTCTCGCATATCCTGACAGGCAATGCTAATCTTGAGGAGCTTGGCAAGGCCATCAAAGCAGCAGCTAACATGCACGAAGGCCTTCGTACATCCTTCTTTGAAGAGGGTAATGTCCCGATGCAGGGGATTATGCAAGCGTCCCCTTTATATCTCGAGAGTCGGAATATCCATTCCGAAGACGAGGCCAAGGCCGAGTACGACCGACTATGTCATCACGTCTATAACCTTGAAACAGGGCAATCGATGCGAGTCATTCTGTTAAAAATGTCATCTAGCAAGCACTATTTGATTGTAGGATATCATCATATTGCCATGGATGGAGCCGGATTCGTCGGCTTCCTACATGAAGTGATGCGCATCGGCGGAGGAGAGTTACTGCCCACGCCAATCCAATATGCCGACTATTCCCGACAGCTCAGGGAGGATGTTGAGGGTGGGAAACTGGATCAACAGTTGTCTTACTGGCGCAAGCAGTTTGGTGACGACAATCCTCCACCACCGGTTCTTCCTCTACTACCCTTTTCCAAAGTCAAAGTCCGGTCACCCCTACGGTTATATGCATCCAGCTCCACTAGCGTGAGAATTGACCCAGTTCTTGTTGGGCGTATAAAACGGAGAGCTCGGAACTTTCAGGCCACTGCCTTTCATTTCTACCTGGCTGTTTTCAGAACCATGCTGTTCCGGCTTTTAGATGTGGATGACCTGTGCGTCGGTATTGCTGATTCCAATCGCCTTGATTCTGAACTACAGAGAACAATGGGGATTCTTGTAAATCTTCTACCATTGAGATTCAAGTCACCACAGCTATCGACGATGACATTCGGCGACGCTGTCAAGGAAGCCAGTAAGACAGCATACAGCGCCCTTAAGAATTCAAGAGTCCCCTTCAATGTGCTGTTAGACAATCTCACAGTGGATAGATCGTCCTCGTATCATCCGCTCTTCCAGGTCTTCTTTGACTACCGACCGGGTATCCCGGAGTCCTGGAAGATGGGCGACGTCAACGTGCAGAGGCTAGACTGGTCTTATGGAAAAAGCGCATACGATATAACTCTCGACATCATGGAAAACACGAGTGGAACTGCATTTATCACAATAAACGCACAGGAGTACTTATACGGCCAGCTGGAAGTGGACATTATGATAAAGGTCTTTGTCAACCTCCTTGAGGCTTTCTCGCGCAATCCAGCTCTGCATCTCAATGAACCACCCCTCTTTATTGAATCGGACACTCAGGCTGCGCTTACTCTTGCACGAGGCCCAAATCTTCCCTCAGACTGGCCAGAAACACTGTCCCACCGTGTGGAGGAGATCGCACAAATCCATGGCGAGAGGGTTGCCGTTAGGGACGAAAGGGGGAATCAATCCACCTACCAGGGGATAATGGAAGAAATGCATCAGATTGCCAATGCGCTGTTTAAAGCCGGAGTCAACTGTGGTGATCGGGTGGCCTTGTTGCAGCAACCTACCACGACGACCATCGCCACAATCCTAGCCATTATGCACTTGGGAGCAGTGTATGTACCTCTGGATCTTCGCAGTCCCACCCCACGGCTGGTGTCAATATTAAAGGACTGCAAGCCACGCATTATCGTGTATCACACCGCCACTGAGGAGGATGCCTCTGCCTTGACACTCGACGATTCCATGAGCGTGGAAATGATCAACACCTCCACGGTGACTTCCGGAATCAAGGAGGCTGTAATTAACAGTGCCTCACCCAATGCCGAGGCAGTCATCTTGTATACGAGCGGCTCTACCGGAACACCAAAGGGGGTCATTATGACCCATTCCTCTATCAGAAACGTGATCGAAGTTCTCACAAAGCAATTTAATCTCGGTTCTGAGATAGTTCTCCAACAAAGCGCACTCACCTTTGACCTGTCTCTCAACCAGATATTCGTGGCTCTTGCAAATGGCGGCACACTGCATGTGGTCGATCAGTCTCAACGTGGCGACGCCATGGAAACCACCCGATTAATCAAAGAGGCAGGTATTACCTACACGATGGCGACTCCGTCTGAGTACTCTTACTGGATTCGCTATGGAGCCAGCGATCTCCAACTCGCGCAGGGTTGGAATTTGGCATTTAGCCTGGGCGAAGAGCTCAAACCTAGACTTGTGGAAGAGTTCCGTTCCCTCAACAACCCAAATTTGCGCCTGATCAACACGTATGGTCCTGCAGAAATCACAGTGCATTCCCATGCCATGGAAATCCCATACATGGACCTCGCGCTGAGCCGGATTCCGGTGGGACACACTTTGCCAAACTACTCGGTTTACATCGTCGATGAATCCCTCAAGGCTGTACCGCTGGGCATGCCTGGCGAGATTTGCGTGGGTGGTGCCGGTGTCAGCCAAGGTTACCTCAACCTGGATGCCCTGACAAAAGAATACTTCGTGCCAAACCCATTTGCACCCTCTGATTGGGTTACCAAGGGCTGGGACCGGATGTATCTCACTGGCGACCGTGGCAGGCTTCGAAAGTTAGACGGTGCTCTTCTCTTCGATGGACGGATGGAGGGTAGTACTAAGATCAAGCTACGCGGTCTACGAATCGAGCTTGGGGAGGTGGAACACGCTATCCTGAACGCTGCTGCACCTGCCATTGACGAGGTCGTGGTCTCCTTACGAGGTGAAGGCAATGATTCCGACGAGTTTCTGGTAGCTCATGCGGTCTTCTCTCGACACCAAGAGCATGGCATTGTGGGTGAAGACCGATATGACTATCTTATTCGGCTGTTGAACAAGCTACCTCTTCCACAATACATGGTACCTGCGATGATTATACCCATCGATTTTATGCCGTTGACAAGCCACAACAAGATCGATCGCAAAGCCATCGCGGCCATGCCTCTGCCGATGACAGATATTGGTCGCGATATCAAGGTTGCGTTACAATTAACGCCCCTGGAGTCGGAACTAGTCGGAGTCTGGGAGACAGTGATCTCCAAGAACTTGGGCATGGTTTCATCGCCTGACTTGAGCTTCTTCCACGCAGGAGGTAACTCCTTGCTTCTCATTCCTTTGCAGTATATGATCAAAGACAATTTCCACGCATCGTTGGCCATGGTAGACTTTGCAGAGGCACATACTATTCGGAAAATGGCGGCTCGTCTAGAGCAGACGCAGTCTGCAAAGCTGATCGACTGGGAAGCCGAGACAGATGTCCATCTCGAGAGCCTAGTATCCTCCACACAAAGTGATAAAGAGGCCATAGTCCCAGAAAGGAGAAATGGTAAGGATCTACGTGTTCTCTACACCGGCGCCACGGGCCACTCGGCGAGGTATGTTTTGGATAAATTGGTAGGAGATGAGCGGGTCTCCAAAATCTACTGCGTCGCTGTTCGATCTCTGAGCAAACTGTCAAATGGATCGGAGAAGATCATCCAGTTCCCGGGAGACCTTCTCGATGTGCGACTCGGGTTGACAGAAGAGCAATTCGACTTCCTCGCCAGCGACGTAGACGTTATTTTCCATGCCGCCGCAAACCGTTCTTTCTGGGACAACTACCAAGTCATGAGATCAGCCAACGTACTGCCGGCGCACACCCTTATCAACCTGGCTATTTCCCGGAAAATTCCCATCCACTTTATGTCTTCTGCCGCCGTTCATCTCTTCGGCGACATGCCAGACGGGGAAGACTACCCTGAGATACAGGCAACATACCCCCCACCAGCGGACGGCAAAGACGGTTATCTAGCCTCGAAATGGGCAGCAGAAAAGATTTTCGAAAACGCATCGAGTCACTTTGGGATCCCTATATACATTCACCGCCCAGGCCCAGTACGGGACCAAGTACAGCAACAAGGTCGTCTCTCGAAAGAGACTGTATTTGCCGAGTTCATGCGTGTTGCTCAAGAACTTCAAATGAATGTCCCCAAAGGCGGCATCAAGGGAGAGATCGACCTTCTCGAACTGACAGGGCTATCCGATGTGCTAAGCGACTGTATCGTCAGAAGCACCGGTCAAGAGTCCGAAGACACGGGTGGGCAGTCCGGTTTGGTGCGATACTTGAACCATCACGCTGATATGAAATTGCAGTTGGACGAATGGGAGGCATATTTTGAGGAGCACAAAGGCGAGCTCTCTCAAGTAAAGGCGACAGAGACACATCATGCGACAGAGTGGATTGGGAGGGCGAAGATGATTGGATTCCCTTATATGTTGTCAGCGCAGAATTTTGACTTGACGGGGGAGAGTAGGTTGCCGATTCTACAGAGGAGGTGATCTTTACATTACCTAATATATGTAGTTAGCTATCTCATAATTCTATAATTGATTCTTGATTCGGAGCCATGATACAAGTCACCGAAGAACTTTACGTATGCGGGAACTTACGTATCCTCCACTCGCAATTGTTCAGGCCGCAGCATATATCAACGCGAACGAGGTATCACTTGTGGAGTATGATGCACTGTCATAACTTTCTTTCTGATTATAATATTCGTATGCATTGTGTACTACCTATTGTTAGGAGGTTGTTCTGGACTTTGAAAAGGAGCTTTGACGGGTTGTTCTCCTCGAAATTTAGCCAGCCACTCATGGTTGTCTTCCAGTGAGCACTTCCATGTAAGACTGCAAATTATCTTCTTGAGCCGGTTGTAGCTCTGGGTCTAGAGATTCCGGCAGCGTCTGAGGTTCTCCTGCCGCATTCAGGAAACTGGCACGAGACAGCATTTGGAAAAGGTGATCATTCACAGCTCCGTTCGTGGCAGAGAAAGGCACAAAAGATCGCGATTCGAAGTCGAGCATGTATGGTGGGACACTATGTGTAACTTGTGCAGCGATCTCTGGCGGAAACTCATGATCGAGGGAAATCCACTCGGCGGACATCAGAAGGCGGTGGGAATTACGGTCGGTTCGAAACATTCGTAGCTTGCCATCATCACCACAGTAGTCCTTGAGCCCTTCGAAACATTCGTAGGCATAGTGGAGGCAAGATGCACTGGGAAGAAGGCTGAAAGGACCGTAGGGTTTGAGCTCCGGGACAGACCAGCCGCTCTCGACATTCCAAGACGCAACAATCACGTGGTCGGTATAGATTGTGTTTTTATTATTGGCAAGGGTTTCTGCACTGGGCACCTCTCGCGGGGTGGTAGTGTAGGCATACTTTAACCTCGACGCGTCGAGTGGTCACACATCCTCCGTGTGTGAAACCATATTTAAAGATATGAACTAATCACAGGAAAAGCGTTCATCTTCCATTTTGCTCGTTCTCTCGAGAACTTATATAATAAACCACTCTGGAGTATTGACTAGTACTTTGATACTCTAGCAAAAACTATACAGATCCTTAGGGCGTGCCATTCTATAGGGCGTGTCGACACGCCCTAGAGTGGGTCCGGGTATCTACCGCCCCACATGGAATTCTCGGTCCGGCGCGCCCAACGCCGAATCCACAATCCACGTAATCATAAAATTATGGGATATCTTCCGCTTGTCTACAAATTGGTAAAAGAGCGCATGGAGAAAAAGGTCCGTTGTAGATTTGTGTCACAATATGTTTTTTGAACCATCAATGAACCCTTTTTGGAGGGCTTTCTGTATACCACAGAACCACAATCTTGTCATCTTGTGGTACCCCTCGTCATTGGGGTGTATTCCATCGGCAAATCCCTCAACGTCCGGTCCATCTGATGTGGCCATGTCCACCAGAACGATCTTTCTCTGTTCAGTCCCCTTCTGGTGGGCTAGAGCACGGAACTGGTCGTTGAGGCGGATCACCCTCGAGTTCACCTCTTTGTCCGCATTGGGAAGCAACGTAGAAAGGAGGATGGTAGACTGAGAGGAAGCCAGCCACAGATAATCGAGCATACCACCCATGCGGTTACCAGCCTCCGGAATATTGAAGGCCTGGAGACAATCATTGGAGCCAGCGTTAACCAGGAAGACATTTGGGGACAAGACTTCCACGGATTTTCGAGCCTTTCCCTCGATCTGGTCAATTCTCAAGCCACGCCAGCCCTCGTGGTCATTATCTGGCATAAGTCTATCTTTTCGCGACCCCACCATGCGAGCTTTGATGCCATGGAGTCGTAGCATCTGCAATAGTGATATTCTATACCCCGCCCCATCTGACGACCCAACGCCGCGAGTAACTGAGCCGCCTAGGGGCATTAACCTCAAGTCAACCTCGGCAGCGGATGCAGGGGAATAGTCTAGATCATTTAGCAGTTAGACATAGGCTTGACGTATTCGCCGTCGGCTGAATCTGACTAACCATCTTCTGAAAATGGGGAGCCCAACCGAGGTGGATCAAGGGTAGACAAATAGCGATTGATTCTAGGAAGTGGCAAGCAGTGACGGCAAGAACGGTGTGACCAGTGGATCATTCGCTGCCAAGGAGGAAAATGGTTCGACCGTGGCATCTTATCAAGAGAGCGGGTTATATACATGATACATACCATGCAGACTACCAACAGGCGGTGGTAGTCCCAGAAGCTAGTTGAAATATGTTTGTGCATTGTCCCCCGGGGTCGGCGAAATATCAAGGCGCCGAGGCCGCTGTGTGCTATCGTATGGACTTTGAGTCGTTAGTAGAAATCGGTTTAGGTAAATTTCTATAATCAACATACTAGTATAAGTACAGTCTCGATGGCCTTAGTTCCCGGACATTTATTTATCTCGCGATTATCTATTTGAAGCAACCCTGATTCGACTGCTCACGATTGTTCGCTTGAAGCACCCCTTCCCTTGACTTGATCCTACTCTACGTCTATTATTGTACCATATGTGACGAAATTGTAACTGCTCTGTTCCGTTTAAAAGAGCAAAATTGATGTTGATTTGGATGGACTAACGATTATATACGGGCAAATTATGTGTCTACCATGCTACTTGCGACCCACCTACGAGCTTCATTATCGGATGACTCAACTACGTTTCTATTATGCCGAAGAGGTACTGTGGCCAAAACGTATGATTTTTTACCTTGATTGTTTAACAACCAAAAGAATTAACCTTTTTCATAGATAACATGTCGACTCCTTCTTCGGCAAGGACATGAACTTGGGAGCGATAATTCTCCTGCGCCCGAGAAAAGGAAATGGTAGAATCCGAATACGCATCTCGAAGAGTTCCAAGGGCACCACTAATAATGATAGGAGTGGACGGAGTCTGAGCTTTATGTCTGAGGTCATGAAGGATCTTGACTGCTGCGCGGTTCAAATCGAGAACCTGTGGGATAGAGAGGCCAAGCTCGGAGGACCACGACGGAGAGCCGCGCTAAGTTCGGGGTTCGAGGAGGATACCGGTTGAATGGGAAAGGGCAACATTTATATAATCCCGGTAGATGGAGATAAGAGCTTCTGTGCCTTCTTCTGTACTGAGAAGTGGGAGAGTAGGGAAGCTGTGGAGATGGATGTTCTTTTTGTAGATGAGGGTGGTTTCGATTCTGGCTTCGGTGAAAAAGAGCTTATAGGAAGTCAAATGTGAGAGAAATTTCGATTGTGAGGCCATTTTTCTGAGGTTTTTGTTGAAAACTGCCACAGGTGATAGAGAAAATGTTGAGCAAATATGTCTTATTAAATAAGACTTCGCCCCTCACCACCCCTTAAAACTCCACACAAGTGAATAGAACGCGATTTCCACGATTCAGTTATCCCCGTCTTCATCTTCAGCCAATCTCTTTGAATAAATCCGTCCCTAACTATCGTTTTATTTCCACCTCAAGAATGTCAGCCATTTCATCTTTCCAGTACTCTAACGGCAAGGTCGCCGCCGCCGAGACAGCCAAGTCATTTTCATGGGAGGCACCTGTACAGGTGAATCCTTTCTGGGATAGTTTCAGTTACTCCACTGCCCAGAATTTTCTGGGCAACTTTTCAGATCTCATGAACTGAAACAGCTAGCCGTCGACCCAGTTGGAATAAACCCCGACGATACTGCTGACCAGCAACAAAAGCTTCAGCTTCTTCTTCTACTACTCAGGAACAAGCTGACAAAGGAAGAAGCAGCCATTTCGCCACGGTCACTTTATGAAGTCAATTACGAGAAGTCGAATCAATTGTAGCAGGGACTATATATATTCGAGGATGAATTGGATCTTCCACAGGCCGAGGATACTATCCGCATGTTGGTAGAGAAAAGGCCGGATACGTCGAACGTTATCCCTCTCCATATGCTAGCCGGTCACCTTGTCAAGTTGGGAAATATAGGGAGGCGGAAGTTGTGCGGCCGGTTTGTGAGTGGATGGATGTATATCCAAAGCTTGGGAAATCCTCTCCGCAAGCCCTCAGCACTCGCAGGACTATCTGCCAGAGTGAAGCTGTTTGGTGGATACCATGTGGCACCTGGACCCTTGGATCTGCGAATTTTGAGCCGCATTTTCTTGAAACCAGGCCCACCTGCACTTTAATCACCTCCCGAGCTCCGGACTGACCCACCCAGACCCGGATCCTCCCTCCGGGGCCCTGGGCTTCCGATTTGTAGCTTCCTTGTTCTCACATATTTCTACCTAAATCTAAGCGCAAAGACACATTTACTCTGGATCTCGCGGTAGCTTCAGGTTGGCCAAGTTAGTTGCATGTTTTCTTTTCTATTGACATTGTCTTTTGACATATCGCGACGAAATTGCAAATTCTCCACACCTCCTCCACAATTATATATTTGACAATCCTACCGCACTGTTGGTGACACGTAGCATACCGCTATTTGAACACATTCACTATGAAGGTGGGTTTGATGTCTGAAACAAACGCCTCAAAGAACCGTCCCGCTATTGGCCTCGTGGACTTAGCTCCGATAATCCTATACTACAATAGTCACCGCTAATTGGTGCCCATGCCATATTTTACCTCGGAAGGAAAGCCGAGAGCGTATGTCTGCTATGACTACAATCAAATGAATTAGAGCGCCAGTTGTGAGAGTATCACCTTACCAAATTCTTATCTGACCATGGTGGTGGCGATTTCTTTATCAGGAGTGGATTCAGCTGGCTCTTAGTAGCTCGCTCTACACAGCGGTATAGGTGCCATTCGATAAAACCTTCTTTTCGGGTATTATTCATGCCTGAATTTAGACTGAGAGAAAAATGAAGATACCTGAATTACTATTATGGAAACCTTAATACGGTACCCTGGTTCTGTCGGCTAATCATCTCTAATAAGGAAAAATAATAATATTGATACTATACAAGTTTATATTTCACCGCTTTCCAGGGTGGTTTATAGCTTATAAGTATAAAAGTAACTTTATCTTTATATTAAAGCAGAGAGTTAGCGAACCTCCCTAAGAGTGGTGATATATTGAAATAAATATAAGCAAAAACACAAACACAAAACAAGGAAAATCGTATATATACTTGACAAAGATGACCGCCATTGGTGTGATATATCATATCATTGAGATAGTTTCTTGGCCCCTCCTGGGATTCTCTCATTCAATACCGGGAATAATTCTTTTCGTCGGATTGGTTTCGCTAGAAAGAAGTCCATCCCTGACCCATAAGCTTCGTGTTGAGCACTAGCACTTGCAAGTCCAGTCATAGCGACAATAGTCGTAGGTCTAAATGATTGTTTTGCTGAAGCAAGGAGTGTGTTCTGATATTCCCGCTCAGCCTTGCGAATAAGCCGAGTAGCTTCAAACCCGTCCATTATAGGCATGGAGACATCTGTGCGTGTCAGAATAGACCCTCATGTACAAGAACCGGAGAACTTACCCATCAGGACCACTCCGAACTTTGTAGGATGGGCTTTGAAAGTGTTCAATGCCTCCAAACCATTGCGGGCAATCGTGTACCTGTATCCTTCTTTCTTCATATGTGCAACCAATATTTGCAGATTGATATCGTTGTCTTCAACCAACAACACCGTGAGTGTCAGCTCCTCTGTCTTGGGAAATGCCTCTCGAGTTGGCAAAGTAATGGTATCAATTTCAGTTTGAGAAGGATGAGTGTCCTCAGGTTGCTGTGAGTCTTCCAGCTTGCGATATTCATCATCTATCGCCTTTTTCCCTGCTTTGTGTTTGTGGAAATCCATCTCATCTTCTGCACGTTGTGTTTCGATATCCTCCTTGGAAACTGGAAGCGACTTCGTCAACTGGAACGTCTTCTTCCCCTGAGGCTGATGTATATTAGAGTCACCCCCTGCCGGAGGTTCCCGGCCTTGTTGTCGTTTTATGCAAATGTTAAATGCTTTGGCCAACTTGCGCGGGCCACAAGGCTGGCTGATAAATTCGACAATAGCCTCGTGATTCGATTGGTTTGCTGCAACAAACATGGAATGTGCTGCCTCTGGCGACCGACAAATCACCACGATCGGAACTCTTCGATTCCCGACATTGCCATGGGAATAATTCTGGGTTTTTAATAACCACGATTCCCAGGTATTCAATGAATTGGTATCGGTCTGCACCACAACATAAAAGTCGCATAAGGGCGGGGAAGCGTCCGTTAGACTCAGGATATGGACATCCATCTCGAACCAGTTCTTGCATAAGTTGTCCAAAGAAGTACTAAGGATTGTATCACGATCGGACATATCAGGTGATCCTAGCTCCAGAAGTCCCAAAGTCGCGCCACGTGTAAGATGTTTCACTTGCAAAAGGGGCTTGGGTTCGGATGGACTGGATTTGGCATTTTGGGCAGGCACGTGGGTAAGGGTGACTTCAATCGAGACATCAGTACCACGACCCCGGAGTGAACTGACTTCGATATGACCACCCATGGACAAAACCGTATGGTGCACAATGCTGAGCCCGAGTCCATTTCCAGGGGCAAGCGAGTCTTCTTGTGTGAATGGAGTGAACAAACTATTCTGCAGATACTCCATGCTCATCCCTATACCCGTGTCCTTGATCGTCAGGGTCACCTTAAAATTAGAAGGTCCCCCGGGCATAGCGTCTTTGGCAGGAGGAACTGGCGATGCAGTCAACTTCACTAAGATAAAGCCAGTGGTGGTGTACTTTAGGGCGTTGCCGAAAATGTTCATCATTATTCGGCGCCAGGCGCCTATCTGGGTGGAGAATCTCCATTCGGCAGCTTCGTCGATATCCAAGATGATGCTGACCTGACTCGCTCGCTGGACGGGACCCAATACGTCAAGTGCCATGTGGTTCGGACGGTCTATCGCCATTGGTCTTTGTGAGCTATGGTAGAAACTGTAGCCTGCGAACACACTTTCCATCACCTCCTCCAGAACAGCATCCAACTGAATATTAGACTTTAGACTAATCATCCCACTATGCCGTGTCCGCCGTGAAGGCTTCATACTATGAGGTGATGGGTCTGTGTTTTTGTGCCGTTTTGAAGGGTTTTTCGATTTGCGAAGAGCGTTTTTGCCTCCTTCCTTCCGGAAATTGTTTATCTTCGAGAAGTCCAGCAAATGGTTGATAGTATCCAACAAAGTCCGCCCACAGGATTCAATAGTGTGTACTAATCCGTGCTGAAGTGCATTCATCGCCGTGTCCCGAAGTATTTCTGATGTGCCAAGAATGCCATGGAGAGGACTTCGTAACTCGTGCGAGATGCTGCTGACCAGATTTGTTTTCGCTTTCTCCGACATCTCGACATCCAGACGATGCACCTCTGCCATGATGCTATTTCCAAACGCCAAAAGATACGTAAGCTCAGTGTCAGACGTGAAGACACGTCGAGGCGTGTTTGTCCATACTAGAGCACCTGAGAACCATCGAGCTCGATGGGAATCCCATATCGGCAAAAGGGCGATGCTGCGAGCTCCCGGGAAGAGTCGAATGAGGACGTTTCCGTCTTCTTTGATCGTGGCACTGCGCGTCTTTTTCCGGCTTCCTCTTGCTCTTTTACCAATGAGGTCACCGTTGACCGGGTTTGAACCCTCACTGTCCAATGAGCTGTTCCAAGGTCCATCACTGCTTTCGTCGGAGGACATCGATCCCTCTTCACTAAAATTGAAAATCCTGCCCTGCGGGTAACGCCGCAGAAGCGTCTTCAATAATACTTCCCGGAGGGCAAGTCTTCCTTTTGATTCATCGTTGATACTGGACGTATTCGACGTCGAGAAGCCTAGAATCTCACATAAGGTCGTGTTCTCTGGGATGGTATCCTTCCCGGCTCGCGGGGTAGAGAATTTCTGGGAATCCGATCCGGTGCTATCGTCACTACTGCCCATGGAGCTTTCAAAAGTACCGCTATCTGAGCCTGGCCCCTTTCGCTTCGTGTCGCTGACCAGACCACCATAAGACCCGATGCTCGCGTCGAAGAACGCAACGCCTTCAACTTCTATCGACTCCCGGATGATGTTAGCTGCTCGCGAAAAGACTTGTCGAACTCCGATAGACAGCATATCGTCTTGCAAATTTTCGGTCGATGCTGTGCTTCGGACAGAGAAACTAGTTTGCGTTTCGGCTTTGTTGGGACTTGATATCTGATCAGTACTGGCGTCCGACTCCTTGCCGGACTGGGTTGTTGACGACGAGGATAATGGTCCTATGGGGAGGTTCGGCGATGGTACACTGGACAAGCCGGGGGATATAAATTGCTCGAAATCGTTTCGCGACAATTGTGACTGCAGCGGCGGGGATGACGGGCGAGTGTGGATGGTTGTGAGCAGACCGGATTTAATTTGTGCATTTTGCTGTAGCATATTTAGGTGGCCTTCGTCATGCTGCTGTTCATTTAGGGGTAGTCCAGTGTCCTGTACCCACTCCTTGCGGAGCGTCGCCTTACCTTCAACAAAACTTCCGAACCCCACAATCATTCTCTCTGCACGATGATGTTCTGCTTTGCATCGAGCCATGTCCAAGTGGGTCATGACGGTCGATGCCATATTTTGCAGGAACTTGATCAACGGTGCATCCAATCCGAATCTTGGCTCGTCATCGATAATGCAGTAGGATCCGATGGTGATGCCTTTAGGACTGATGATGGGGGCGCCTGCATAGAATCTCGCTTTGGGAGAGCCGGTGACCATTTTCAAATGGTTAAACCGATCATCTTTGCGTAGATCAGGTACCATGTATATACCCCCCTTGACCACATTTTTGTCTTCTTCTGGCTTTATTTGCGGTAGGGAAGCGACTTGTTGACATATCCCATACTCCTTAGGGACAACGCAGCAACCCAGCCATAAGGCATCTCTATCATTCTCCACTGTATGATCTTGAAGACTGAGTGTTTGAGTGGCCTCTGCGAGGACATATTGTTGGTCCCGGCCGAAGAGTGAAATCAAGGCACGTTGAGCGTTCAACCTTAAAACTCCTAGCTGGGCGAAGGCCGTCAAAGCGGTATCTGGCGACGATCGGGGAATATAGGCAGTGTGTTGATTCTGTACATTCTCAGGTGTTGTGGGGACACTTGGGCCAGATTGGAAAACTTCGTTGGGTTTAAGATATCTTTTTTATTAGTGTATGGTTCTAATGTGTATTCAATTCGGGAATAGTAGAACCCTGTCTATGTACATACTTGTATAGTTCCCTCTCTTGTGCTAGCTTGAACTTGGGTGGTCCGGCTTGCGCTGCCTCTGACGATGACATGAGACGTGTGTAGTAAATTCTTTCTGATGATGATTTTCACCGGACAGGACAGCCTTGTTAGAAAAGAGTAGCAGACTGTCGCAGAAAACAAGGAATTGCTAAAATTCGAAGTGGGTACACGGGTTGATCCATACCGAGGTAGGTCAATGCGAATGGGCCGATCAGTCAATCATGTTGTGCCCAGCGGGCTCGATCGGGCTTTTCGATGGCAATTCTGCACTGGAAATGGGGCGGTGAAGTACACACCGCTTTGTGGTTATCTCGAACACGTGAAGTTGAATATCATGGCTATCAGGACCTCAGGCAACTGCAAAAATCATATGAAATCTACAAGACTTTTTTATCCCCTGCGTACTGACCAGATGATGCCTCCTTCGATCATTGCTGCATCATTTTTACGCGTGTCACTGGACCCTTGTACACCTTCCGTGCATATATCACATAATAACAGAGTGAAACCATAACAACACCCCCAAATATTACCACGCCCCAATTCATGGTAGTTGGGTCCACATTCTTCGTCAGGGGGAAGAAACTGAAGACCCATATGACTAGCAAAACCATGATGGAAATGGTATCACAGATAGGGGTGAACTTGCCCATGCTCCAACGTGCCGGTGGTAGGGGCTGATTGCGCCAACGTCGAAGACGAACGCAGGTGATTGAAATAATATAGGAGGATAGAAGGGCGGCTGTGCCGAGGGACATAATGGCATTGAAAGCCACGGAAGACCCAATATTGATTAGGGAGAGGAGAGAGACAATGACAAGACTGACGCAAAGGGCATTCAGTGGAACAGTGAACGTTGGGTTAACCTGTTGTCCTTAGGTTAGTCAGGGGCATAGATGGACAGCGTGTCAAAGAACTCACCTGTGCCAAAAAGTCGGAAAAAGGAAGGCCCTTGTCTCGGGCAAAGGAGTAGATCTGACGCGAGGTTGTAGCGACATTACTGATTGCCGCGCAGAATTGCATGATCATAATCACAACCGTCATGCCTGTCGTTGCACTGACTGATCCCGTGGCATTGAGGAAGACCTGGATAAAGGGGAAGCCTGTTTCAGACTCAAGCACTTTATCAATGTCGCCCACACAGAACGCAAATGTGATTATCATAACTAGGCCGGTGGACCCGTTGAGGATTAGTGTCCAGACCATGCCCATAGGAAGAACCCGAGATGCATCTCGAATTTCCTCCGCTGTATCCTGGTATTAGTCCTTTTCCTTACATGGCTCGGGAATAGTACGGTACATACCCATATGAACTGCCGAGTCGGGGCCTTTTCCGGATATATCGTTAGCAACGTCCAAAATAGGATCCATGAACGTGCGGAACGTACCAATCAAAGCATATATCGGTCCAACCAGCCCTGCCATACATGCGAGTCCATTGTTATCCCATCCACCCCGATTCTCTATAGAACCAAATACCTCGGAAGCGGGAACCCTAGGGGACAGCACCCAAAGTGGGATCAAAATTCCAAAGAAACCAAAACAGTGAACAATCAAAATGATACCTTCTATCAATGGAAGCTTCTGGGCCAGGAATGTGTTAAACATCAAGGCTACCAAAGCCACCGCAATGACGAGCAGCGTGACATGCCATGGCTTATAGGTATATGTGTCAGGGTAGTTTATCGCAATCACGCCAACCATCATGTTAGCGACTGTATAGCAGCATCCTGCGATACCGGTGTGCCAACCCAACACGCAGATCCATCCAGTGATGTAACTCAATAGAGCCTGAGCACTCGGGGGTGCGAACTCCGACACCCAATGATACTGACCACCGGACAATGGGGCCCTGAAAAGAATCGGAAATAAAGGTTAGCGATCTTATCGTCAAGTCATCTGAACTATGCATACATGGAAGCCATCTCAGCCATTGAGAGGATCACAAAACTGAACCCTGCCAGGCCTCCCAGATAAGTATAGATCATACCTCCTTTGCCGCCATTGGTCAACCCATAAGATGAGCCACTAATGCAATGGGTCAGCACACGATCCCAATATAATATAACAAGGTGGAATATCCTATTGAAGATATCGATCAGTTTACTTAGAGAGACATACAAGAGAACTGCTTCCCACGTGCACATAAGCACCGCTGTAAACCCAAGAACGGACAGAAATCGGAAGTTCCTCTGCAGAAGGTGTCATTTTTTGCTGCTCTTTTTTTTTTTTTTTTTTTTGTTCCGCTTGATGATTTGGAAGGGAAGACTCATAAAGGTTAAGTAGAGTTGCGTACGTTTAGTTCCTGATCTCGACCGGCACGCCACATGTCTTGCTTGTCCTGCGCCGTGCCTGCCTTTTGGGAGGGGGTGTCCAGGGAAGACATCTCCGGCGTAGAGTGTTGAACATTCAACATAATTCCGTCTTCGCGTCCCATGGTGAATAATGATCACTTCAATTCCAGTGATCCGGGGGATAAATGAACAAGGTCTGACGGGGAAACCAGAAAAAGGAAAGAAAAAAAGAGGAACAAGGAAGTAGATAAGGAAATTCAGAATATAAACCCAATGACGTTAAAACAAGGGCGAGAATACAACTGTGCTTCCGGTTAAAAAAAATTACAGCGCAGGGACAGGGGTAGATACTGTGACGAAAAAAAATCATGGTAGTAGTAATATTTTATATATCCCGCCAACCCTGGTCAGCAAGCAAAGCTTGTGGTTGGCAGCGGCCAAAGTACGATGCATTAGGACACCACTAGGAGCGCGCCATACGTGAGAAATAAACAAACCATAGTAAATCCCCCATCCCGACCCCACAAGCGGAAGGGTTTTTTTTTCTATACGAAGTACTCCGTGCAGTTGGGCTTTTTTTGGCTTGATTAATCATTGTCCAGGAAGAAATTGGGTGGAGACTTTTTACACAATTACGGTCCTTTAGTCTACCTTTAGCTGTCCCGCCGAATTCTAGCCCCATTCAGGATCATAATCCCGGCTATGTACCCAATTTATTGAGATATTTGATTGGGTAAATTGTCTTGTCGATCCCGATCCATATCTCCTTTTTGGATTAGCTCTATACGTACGGAGTACTCCGTACTCCACACATATGCGAACAATGGCCTGAGCCAACAACCCTAGAGATTCCGCCCCAACATACAACATTGTCCATGCAGGGATTAGATTTTGTTACTGTGTGTAAAAAGATTATATACATAGGACCGCCAAGCTCATGCTAATTTCCTCTCCTACGCAGACCAAGACACATAATATAACATGTACTCTGTACTTCGTAGTGAAGACATAATTCTCATACCTAGGAAATCTAGATCTTTACTGGTTTTCCCTGAATTCTAATCAACCTATGAAGCCATCATTATCTCCTTTACATACCGATCTCACTAATAGACCGAAAGATTAGTTAATATCGGACCTTTCTATTTGATAATTGAGGTTGAAGTGAAAAAGAGATGTTTACAGATGTTCCTACAACTCGGTAATTCTAAAGTTGATTAACTAGTTAGTTGTGATCAGCTCTTTAAAAATAAAATACCACTACAAAATGATCTGGTTATATGGTCCACATACGCACCTCGTACATAAACTTAATACGGCAGATAATTGTCAGTGCAATATATCGAGCCTACCAAGATCCCTGTTCATTTGATCCTTAGATTCATCTGCCGCAAACATGGCCCCCGGTATTCCTAAAAGGTTATAAGCGTAATCCATCGCGAAATCTCTGTTTTCTAGCTTTCGTTGTATCTCGACTATCTGGATCCCCTCATGGAGTCCGTCTCTCCCTATACAGTCTCCGCGACGAATCGAAGTGGCTTGATTGTCATTGTTGAAACACTGTTTATGACGTGGATGATAATAGTGAATCTGATTCGACTGTACATGCGTCTGGCGATCAATGGACCACTCAAGATTGATGATGTGGTAGTGTTTACCGGGAGTGTAAGTTCGATTTGTTATTATTGCCCTCCCCCAGCCTTTCCTCATTTTTTCCCCTAACCCCACAACTACGAAATTATATCCACCTATCTCCAATATTGATCGAGCTTGACTTGTTAGGTAATAGCCATCGCTCATGTCGGAACAATCATGGACGCAATCTCCCATGGCCTGGGCCGATCAGAGGACGAAAGCTCGGTGTCGAACTTAATGCGCGCTGGAAAGGTTGCCTTCCCTCCCCCGCAGGCCCCCAAACTCGGCCTCCAGTGCCACTCGAAATAAAGAAAAATGAACTGACGGATGTTGACCCAGGACGTCTACGCAGCGAACCTCTTATTCCTGGCTGGGCACGGCGCGGCCAAGATATCCATATGTCTGCTTCTCAAACAACTGGGCCGGCAAAGGGGCTATTTGCTCTGCTCCAAGATCCTTCTGTGCATAGTGACGGCGTGGATGCCTGCTTCGATTCTCGCGGTTGCCCTTAGTTGCTTCCCACAGTACCAATTTTCCATGGCCCAGAATTGTAGTAATATTGTGCGTTATACTTACTTACATCGAGTGACCCAACTGACAAGTGAGAGCAGGGCATTTCCTGGAAAGCGATCTCTGCGTTTGATGTGATTACGGATATCCTTACCTTTGGCCTGTGTATATTACTGGTTTGGGGGGTTCAGATGCAGTGGAAGCAAAAATGGGCGGTAATATTGGCTTTTGGGACAAGAGCTCCGTGAGTATCTGATATCGCAGAGATGAAGGTATTCAAGAAGAAGAACTGCAATGGCTAATGATTTTCCCGCGATATCTAGGGTTGTTATCCTAATTATCCTCCGCCAAACCTATCTTAACCGCTCGCTTTTCCTTCCCGACGCGCCTCTGCATCAATCGGATGCAATGATCGTGACCGCCATTCTCCTTCACTGCAGTATTATGGTATCCACCGTGCCATGTCTGAAGCCATTTGTTATTTCATTCAACACAGGATTTGGACAGGGCGTCACAAATGGCAACGGCCAAAATTCATATTTCACACCTACTGGGAAGAGCGCATCGGCCAACCAATCCCACATCTATTCAGTAAACCGAGAAGAAGGGGAAGAAATTGATCTGACTACTTTCCGGCAGTCACAGGATAGCCAGCACTCGCAACGTCTGATTATTCACCAGATGCAGGAGTGGAAGGTGGAGGAGGAATATGAGATGGACTCTATACGAGATAGAAGTTGAGTCGTCATAACTATAAGATGAATGGCCTCTTAATTTAAATCTATTGGACTGGACTTGTATGAAATACTATATGTTATTTAAGAGAAATGATATTCCAATATTCTGCGGAGCCCTTGTTGTGGAAGACAGTACAGCAATCATCCATCCATGGGATCAATTCATTCATGCAAATACAAATCGAATATCCCGTCAATACGGAAGCTTCAGTTGATATGCTCTAATTAAAAGTTCCAAAGCTTGACTAAATCTATTTCAGATACCAGTTTTTTAAAGTGGCCATCTTTGCCGAAGAGCCAGTTCGTTATAAGCGCAATACTCGTCAAATCAAGGCCACTGAAAACATTATCCAGAATGACAATGTCAAACCTCGAGTAGACTGCTCGGGCGAGTGCCTACAGATGCATAGAGAGGGGTTATCAGTGCGTGCAAAGATAGTTGCATATCATGCATCATGACTCACAATTCGCTGCTTTTGGCCTCCACTAAGTGATATTCCGCCGCTACCAGCCATATGCATGTCGCCTTCTGAAAGGGCATCTAGGTCCCCTTGTAGGCCGCACACATCACATGTGAAATCATACCATGTTTGATCAAACTCCAGGAATCCGATGATATTGTTCCGGATGGTGTCATTCTTGATCCACGGGTTCTGTGGACAATAGGCTGCTCTCGAGAACGAGGCTGTTCTGGAACCATTTTTAACCATATGCTGGTGAAAGATACTCTCAATCAGAGTCGACTTCCCACATCCAACGGGACCGACTATCATCCTAATGCCCTGATGAATGTCAACACTCAAATCGCGGATCATAGGCTCTTTTTCCGAGGACCATGCGATAGTTGCATTCTGGAATGAGATCAGGAATGGATATGATTTTTCGGATGTCAGCAATAGCTGTATGTCCTCTTCGTATGTTTCAGATGACGGGTTACCCTTCGCACAATATGCTTCAATCCGGGCAAAGCAAGCGATGGCCTGCCAGATTGCGGGCATGGCTTGGCAAAATATGAGCAGGGGATTTGTGAGAAAAGAAATCAAAGCGAGGGATGTGAATGCCTGAACAGAGAGGATTGACCCATCGTGTCGCACAACAGATATTATCGCATAGATTGTAACGTAGCAAAGGGAGCGAGAATAGTGGGCAGGTTGGCTGGATTCAACGTCAGTTTATGTCCCGTGTGGCCATTTCATCTGTCCCGGGTACTTACAGAGCGCAACCTGCCATATCAGCAACTTTCGGAAAGTAACTGAAGTTTTCACTTCTATTTCACACAGATGTGACACCAGCGGTAAAATAACATTACCCAGCCCGAGCATTTGTACAGCCTTCATATTGCCTAACGTGTTTGCTGTCACTGCGAGTCGCTTTTGTACTCGCTCGATCCATTGTTTTTGCGCCTGTCCAGACCTGCTTGACACTGGGACCATTGCTAACACAGAACCTAGAGATAAAGCTTCTCAGTAGTTGCTCTTGAAATATATGTGCTTAAATTAGATGAGAAAACTTTTACCCAGTGAGATGACGAGAGGTATAAAGCAGGCGACGCCGAGCTCGCGCTCCAACAACCAAATCGCAATCCCCACCTCTATGATGAATGCCCATGCCTCATGCAGGTTCTTCAAATTAGCCACAATTCGTTCGACATCAGTGCCCATTAATGTGATAGCTGCGGAATCAGTCAAATCCACCGCAGTCATGTCGATAGTCTGGTCATAGATCATAGATATGAGACCAGATCGCATCATAGTGAGTAGATGATATGTCTGACGCCAGTATATGGCTTTTGAAACCTTTTGGCGATAGTTAGAGACATACTACATTGGCAATAATGAATAGAGACCTACCGCCAACCCCATATACATCAGAACATACGCGCCTATGAGTCCATTTCCGTAAATCCTAGGCTCTGATGACGATGGCCCTCCAATATAATTGACAGTTGCTGTGATCAAAAAGGGCTGTGCAAAGGTAAAGCAACTGTAGGCTAGGCGTGGGGGAATCGCGGAGACATAAGCCCAGCCGTATGCACGAAATACAGCTTTGATTAAGTGAGGAGCACCGTTTTTCTTTACAGAATCCCAGGACTTTCGAAGTTTGCCACCCGAGCATTGCCCTTGAAGATTTGTGTCAACTTCTGGAACATCCTCAATCTTGAGAGATTCCCGATATCCTATCTGCAGGAATGGCAGTACCCAGATAAAAAAGCTGCGGCCCCAAACCCCGAGTTTCCCTTCGTCAGTACCACTACTACCACAATAGTCAGAGTGCAGGATCTTAGTTTTCGGAACTGACTCAAGAGCTATAGTCACCACCGTTAAAATGAAGCTAGCCAGTGAGAGATATCGACAGACTCTAACGGATGGGATTAACCATAGTGAGCGCAGCTGGGGCAGCCTGCAAATGCTAGACGTTGAGAAATATAGGATAAGAATATCCTATGGTTTTGCAGACCGCTGATCCTCTAAGAAGGAGGCATATAACGCCACAAAAGTTGCTATGATGTTGAGTATCACTGCAGGCAAGGAAGCCCTTGTATGAAGGACGGATTCTCGAACTTGAAAGGCCGCAAATAGAACTTGGAGAACAAATAACACAGCTAGAACGCACTGGTTGAGCTTAGAAATAGTTAGGGAAGGTAGGACCTAGGACTTTTACTAATTTGTAGACCGCTAATTTGTATGAAATGATTTTGACTAGCTCGTAGCGGAGAAAACAAAGTCGTATAGGTAATATCAATAAGAAGATTGCGGCCGGTAGAGAGGTGAAAAATATGTCCTCAAATAAGAGAGTAAAGTCAAAGGCACGACAATCGATGCTGACGCGAGGGCCAAAGCGGTTGTCAGCTTGCGATGACCAGCACAAGCTGGTTGCCATTCATTGGTATTTTGCGATATATTGACGGTTCAAGTAAATTCTGTTAAATTGGATGACTGATGCTAAATTCAATTCCATGGGATACAGCATTAAACTATTTATACTGAGATCGGATATATATGAGGATATAGCTACCCCCAGGGCTAACTCGGAGCGGCCACGATCAATTACCTATTTAGGAAATATGAATTTTTGAACTCCGAGAATGGATACTCTTTATTCCGATCAGATATTTGCTTCGGTGTAATATTCTTATCTCGGAATTCTGAGTCTAGACCCCGCCGACAGATCGAATGTTGAGAGTTATATAACACCTTTAATCTAGTTACGGGTTTGGGGAGGCTTATATGTGAGTCACTATATATTCCGAGAAGTCATGTATGCAGGTGAATTTGTTGGGTTCCATACTTGGCTGTGTTAAACAACTTGGTGGTGTTCGTAGCAGCAGTTCCTCTGTCATATACAGCTACTTACATAGTGCTCAATCAGCTTGAGAAGGGGTCCGCGTTATATACAGATAGGTTACCATCAGCATCTGTATATTCTCTGGGAGCACTATGTGGTTCCAGCTCGGCGTTTGGCTTCGAGTTCTTGCTTCAGTTGGATGAAGCGCCTGCATAGTCATACGCAACTAGTTAGACTGCAACAGGAAAACTGAACTTTGATTGATCGATTGATTGATACACAAATTAGATATACGTAATATCGTCAAAATGCACCGGATTTTAGTGTCTAGATTGAGTTCATGACAATGTAGACGCTATTGCAAGATACTGGATATCTTACAACATGGAAATCTTGTGTGTGCGGGAAACAATTTTTATGAGCATTGCAATATCTGCTCGAACAAGATCGGGCCGCTGTATTGCATCTTAGAGATATATATTAGATGAAGGAGATTGCTATAATCAAGTTAAGTGGAATTTAACAAAGGGTCTTGCGACCAGTGAATGTTGTCAAACCACGCCACGAAATCAAGGTTGCCATCCAAATCACAACCGTCAAGCCAATTTTCAGACAGTTCAAGTTCTGGTTGGGGACACGTAGGAGAAAGAATTTGATCGAGCACCCGACGAATAAATCTCGCCCCTTGTTGGGCAATCTCATAACTCCCTTCGTACGGCAGCACCAGGAAGGTCAGATGAGAGACAAAATCATTAAGCTTTTGGATTGTAAGCGAACGGAAATTGGCAGTTAACGGCGTTGATGATGGATTCGATATCTCATAGGTATACTCCGAGAGCAGTTTCGAAGTTAGGATGCCTGCAGCAGGTAGGCCCATATAGCATAACTAAAGTAGATGAGCTTATGAGGTCCCATGGCAGTATTGAGGGCTAGAGCAGTCTTACATCCCATGACATATTCGCCTTCAAGTGAGCAGGCTGGGTTTGCATGGAAATAATATGTAACAGTGTGGTAATTATTTCCAGGGAGCTTTCAAGGAGGCCTTGCGAGTTTATTCCAACGCGCTTTAGCAAGATTCGATGTAGCAGAAACTCCTGGTACGTGAATTCTATGTGAGCGAAGGCGCGAGCCTCATCTCGTGCAAATCTGTAAGCACCCGCTGCAGCTTCCTCGGGATACCAATGCAAAAACGAGGGAAGGTCTTGTTGTGTCTGACGAGATTCCTGAATCAAATTTCTGCGCGGTTTCCTCCTGTCAGTCTCTAAAATCAACATCAACATGATATGTAGTCTATAATGGGATACGAACTCACCTCTAGGTAGAATATGCTGGGTTGTAGGACTCAGAGACAATTCTAGGATATTTTCTCGCAACAAACTCGTCAGTAGCACGACGCGAAGCCTAACACCAACGGTCAGGTTCCCCTCGGTGTTCCAACCATTCGCGTCGAGATTCTGCGGTGCCTTCTCTCCTTCACTGTGTGAGAGGACCATCTTCTCATAACTTATATCCAAGGGAAGCGGAATAACACAGTACCGAGAGCAGATCCGTGGGGGACGCCCCAAAGAGGTCGCTAGCTCTTTATCAATTGCGTATGCGCACACCATGACTCGCTTTCGTATCTCCACTAAGAAGAACGGAAATGTTTCAATATCTTCACAGGATTGATGCAAGCCGAACGCGTAAACAATAGTGGATAAATCTCCAAGCTTTTGCCAGACCCTATAGTCTATCCGAACATCAGCCATCCCTTTTCTCTTTTCCGGTTGATAATATTGAAGAATTATAGCGTGCTATCACCATACATCGAAGTCGAAAGAACTATTTGCTGGGTCATAAGCCAGCAAAATGGATCGCTAGTCGTCCCAGCGCCATTGCAAAACTGGCAGCAAATCTCTCCAATGGCGGTAGCGATAGTTCTGAGCTGACTCTTTTCAAGCTTCCACGGGTTGCGATGTGTGAATATTGGGTCATCATCAGGTGTATGGAATAATGCTGTCCCCAACAAGGAGAAGACAAGTCCAATTGTCTCCCATCTCGTGGCTATTGAATCGAAATACTCAGGCAAATTCATTGTCGGATATGTTCTGACATCTTTGGACGTGTTGACAAATATTTGACGGGACAAAGTCGCTAGCGACGCATGAGTATCCTAAGAGTTGCGGACTGCACAATCATACATTTGCTCCACAGAATCACATAGGGCGCGAGTCAATGGAGGACCGAGAAACCATCCTGGGTAAATCTTGTTCTTCAATTCAATAATTTCATAGAACCAACGGATCTTCTGCAGGTGCGATAGAATCTGAACTCCTAGCAATACCTGATTGGGATCGCTCGGTGAATATGTAATCGTTGGTGCTGTGGCTGTAGGTAAGCCTGGTTCTCCGACACGGAGGATATCCTCATACTCCGTAAAAATATCTTTGGGGGAGACCAACCCTAGGACTCCCGGCCCCAGAGTCTGCTTTTCCCTCGCAGTCCATCGCGCGATATGCTGGTTGCGTAATGTATTGCCCTCATCTGTAAGCGATGGCAAAGCTGATGGCAGGCTTGGCGCGGCTGTGCTGGAAATCGTTTGATCTAAACGAAAGACCAAATGATTTTCCGGGCGCTGCCTCTCGGGTTTCCGTGAGATCATCCTGGGGGCTCGTGCACTCGGCTGAGTTAGCGGAGCAGGATGGTAGAAGCAACGATCGGCCAGACCATGACGGAGACATCGACCGCAGGTCGGACTTTGGTGGTCGCATCGTAGTTTGGACTTCCGACAAGGCTCGCACGATGATAGAAGTCCATTTCGACGAGGCGTTGCCATTTTTACCAAATATATTATTAATGGTAAATATGCAACTCTCAATAGAGGCTTTGAGAGAGGAGATACAATGCCGGCTGGGCTAGATAGGGCCTTGGCATCGGACCTCATTGAATTCCCTATTCGGGAAATTACAGCTCGAACTCCGAATGGACTGTGAAACAACCCTAGTTTTGACGGTCATGAATGTCCATATTGCAGTGGGAGACCAGGCCCTACACTACGCATTGACGCTGCTCATCCTTTCTTTACTGTGCAGTGAGAGGATGGAAGATAAGGCTTTCTGAGTACTGCAAAAACAGAAGCTTCACTTCAGGAAAGGAGCACAGGAGCTGATGCACGGTTTGATCTTAACATATGAGCTAGAGGTATTTCTGGAGATATTTCCTGTGATCCACATCTCAAGCATGTGCTTGAGGCCGCCAATGCTATACTCTCTTCAAAATGGAAGATTGGTACTTTTATCAGCGTAACTACACGGTGTGCACTAGAATAGTTTGCGGAAGCTGCGGGACATTGAGGCAAACATCAGGCTCAACAGACAGTCTGGGCCATAGCACCATAGAGGACTACTACGTACATACAATGGACTACTTCGTGGATGTTTCAGTTTTGTATCTAGCAACCGAGAATATTAGATCCTATCCAGTCGGTCTATCGGCTCCATCTATCTGTATCCTGTTATTGAGTTGAGTTGAGTTTATGCTTCGCTTAGGGAAAATCACGAAAGGTCTGTACATTTCGATCACTCTGCTACCCAGATAAAAAAGGTCCATGGTCCTCCTGGTTGACGCACCGAGCCGAAGGTCCAAGAGGAATTCGCCATATAGCAGTGACCGCTAAGGCAAAGAAGAGCGATGCCTGCAAAAATGGCAATCCTATCCAGGCACCTTCAAGATGCATTCCTAGTCGAAAGAGGCTAGCAAATAGTGGGCCTGCGATTAGCACACCCACCGACTGTGTGATGGCAATCGCAGAGTATAAAGTCCCGATATGGTCGGGTAGTACAAGTGATGTAGCTAGACTGCGAGTAGTTATCAGAAATGATGACCCAATTGATAGAATTATCTGACCGATAATCAAGATAGCTGGTGTCGGAGCAAGGAATATGACCGCGAAGCCGATGATTGAGAGGACGCCACTCCACTTGCTCATCGCATGGTCTTTGTATTTCCCATGGAGATTCAAATTTCTGATGGCAAGGGTAGATAGGGTTGGCATCAAGATTGAGTAGGTGAAAAGAGAGAATATACCGCGTAGCGATATTAAAAGACTCGACTATGGTATAGTTAGTTTCTGACAGCTTAAATAAGAAAATAAGAGAGACATACGCGAGCAAAGCTCCAATCGAACTTCTTGGACACATACTGCAGAAGCAGATTTGTGGATTTTCGGCCTATTACTGTGACAAAAGACACAAGAATCATAATACACACATTAGAGTCGGACCAAATAAACCGAGTCGACCCGATGAATTTGGGGAACTGTCGAGTAAACTCTTGGCGCACTTCTTTCTTGGCCCGTTGCTGCTCTGGCCGCTCATTTTCAGTGTTCTGCTCTGTTTCCTGATCCCAGTTCTCTGGGATTGGTTGCTTCACTTTCATATCTTCCAATTTCTCAGGAAGAAACAGGACCGGGATCGTCCCTAGAATAATAAGGCCAACTCCTAACAGAAAGGGGAGCATTAAGCTAGAAGTCATCAGGTAGGCACTTATTGGCGTAGCCAGGATTTCTGCTAAGATAACAGCAGAGTTCAGGCGGAAGAGAGCAGTCGATCTGCGCATTTGTTAGCTTGATAATCTTACAATACCGCTAGAGCGCGACAATACCTTTCATCTTCAGAGAAGACATCGGCTATTATGACACAAACAATAGCAGCAATCACTGGATCGCCGCCACCGATAATCTTAAAGAGTGATGATAACCAGACCATCCGCAGAGGAATATAAGTTGACCATATGCTATAAATTGAATAAGTAAAACATCAAAGGCCTGCAAATGTAAGACTTACTCACAGACTATTATCACCCAGAATTCCCCTAGGATCATTCCCAGTAGGCAAAGGCACAGGACCGGCTTCCTTCCCCAACGATCCGAAAGAATTCCATATGGAAGCGACAGTAAAAGACCTAAATCATCATTAAGATCAGCATAAATTCTGTAGAGGTACATGTATTAGGACAACCTACCAGGAATGACATCGAAGGTATCCTTGTACCCTATCACAATAGCCAACTCCCCCTGTACAGTCTCAGATTTGCAGGGGTTTGGGTCCAGCGGAATATTTGCAGTTCCTAGATCCAAGGTCACGTTCCCGGTACCAGCCCGATGGAGATTGGCCTGGTAATTCCGGCAGATGATTTCTTCGAAGACGGCTGTCTGTGGTGTATTTGACATGAAAATTCCGAAATCGGTCAATAATGTGATAATGGAACACACGATCAGGATGAGGAATTTATTTGATTTCCGGGTCGGTGACCGGGTTGCGTTTATGGCCAACAGGGGGTCTGTCTCGCTGTTTGGGGGCATTTTGCTGTTGGAATTTGGGTGTGTCTTCGATTTTACTTTCCCCAGAGTAGACAGTTAAAGGGTGAAAGAAACAAAATCGAAAATACAAAAAAGTATAAAAGTAGGCATCATGGTAGCGGCATTTATCTCTTCCTATGGTGTAATCACTGGAACTCCGGGAGGAATATCAAGTTTGTAACGATGTACTTTTTATGCTAAACTATTTAGTCCTACATAGGATTCCTCCTAATACTTTTACTCTGTTCTGACTGCTAACATCTTATCGCGTCTCGAAAGTCGGACCTTGGAGTTCGGAATCAAATTTGACGTGTCTTGAAATGAGGGCTCCGTCTAGTGCGATTCTTAGACTAACTGCCGATCGCAGTGTGATGCAAGAGGTGATAACTAATAGAGGTGATCGCTACTCTCCTGACTTCCTCTGCTGACTGGTGATCCTCTCGAAGGAAATATTACACGACGTTGTTACAATGATTTGAAGATAGATGACCAACTTTCTCCTTTACGGCGAACGGTCCTGCTAACCATGCTCCCACAACGAGTCCACAAAAACCAAGGGAAAGAGCTTAGAGAAAGAGCAATCAAATCGAAGAGGCGCCGACTAAGACAAGCATGTCTTCCCACTTTGGGCCGATCTGAAGCCCGAGACGTATAAAAAAGAAGTATCAAAAGATTCAAGATGACATTACCCGATATTCTCGGGCCGGGTCGAAATGGTACCAATCAAAACCCAGGGGGTGGTTTTTCTCTTCAAAATTGTAATGTGAAGCAGTATGTTTTTGGCTTTTATTCCTGTCTAGCGACTTACCATAACATATTTAAAAGACACTCATGGTCTTTCATCGGAAGCGATAAATCCTACTACTCGAAGATTCTTAAGCAGCCCAGGTCCTCTTGACGATTCCAAGATATTCACGTTTTTATCAGAGTTGCCAATAGTGGCTGCGCTCCATGAGAAGTCACCAGCCGCATCCTCTGGTAGTCCCATGTTGGAAAATTGGGGGACTCTCACTTCTTTTCAGAATTCGCCGTCCGGTGCTTCGGCACTTACTGAGGCTAGTATAGCACATTTTGAACTCTACAACCGTGGAATAAATGCCTTATGAATGGGAACAATTACTTGCATGATTGATACAACCATAGGAAAGTCTTATCTTTGAGATAGCCAAGATACCCAATCCACTTAAATTGTCCGATACAGCTTATGACGGCTCTGAGCTATCTTTGGATCTCGCTTTTAGCTTCATTTACAGCCATCTTCATTTACAGCCATAGTGTGCATGGAAATTTCTCTCTCGCCCTGCTTATCTAATGCAATCGAAGTGTTGAAAAGGGTGCCCATGGATATGGACATCTTTCAATGTTCAAAGATTAGACTGTTTGAAACTTGCACTTCCGATTACACACTGCACGTTCCAATCCTTCCGTCACATTTGTTGATAGCTAAACTTTGATTTTGTTTATGTAACCGTATTCTCAACAACACTTCATCTTCACTGGTAAGATGGCCGAGTTGGTCTAAGGCGCCAGGTTAAGGTATACCTTAACTCCACAACTAGCAATAGTTTCCTGGTCTCGCAAGAGGCGTGGGTTCGAATCCCACTCTTATCATGATCTTTTTGTTTTTCGCTCATATTTATCTCAATATAAGGCGTTTGTTAGCTCAATTGGGTTATGTTTGGTGTGGTGTATAGAGGTGGGCGGTTGGATTGAAATTTTTTTTAAGTTGTGCATTTTGCAGATCTTTATGTCTATACAGTTTTTTAATGCCAACTGCTGGTTTTAACATTTTCTTAGACGTCAATTGCTCTTCGGATCCCCATGGCAGGCGGGAAGACACCACCTGGGCCCTTTGAATTCCAGTTCAAAGATGATAACGGAGTGTCGATTATATGGTCCTTTATGACGAGGATGTGAACCGACTAAGAACCAATCTACAAGCCAATGGCGTTAGTTAACCCCTTGCATCACATGACATTTTTTACGGCCGTGAGAAATGTGATGTAATTACCCATACATACAATATAATCTAAGCTAATCTAAGCTAAGCTCCAGGGCTCATTCATCACTAGGTATCATCCATACCTGGATCATACTAAACTTCTATCTTCTCCCTCACGACCCCAAACACACCTATCCTCGCAATCCACATACCCATACGTGAAATAAATTCTTCCACAGTACTGAATTCCTGACGGCCGTCAGAATATATGGTTATTGAGCTACCTCTTTTGGGTATATACCTTGATGGTATATTTATAACCAGACCATATTGCCAATCCCCCATGAAGACCTTGACACGTTGGGGTCGCATGATCATGTTTTGTTAAAAGGTATTTCTGTAGGCGGTGACCTGGTAGGTCACATGTCATTCTCTTTTGCTCCGTCTCTAGTAACAATCATGAACCATTCTTCCCCTTCTTCTCCAGCTTTCCTACTACCAATGTGAAATGGATCGGATGGTGCACACTGAGCGGAGTATGTGTATTTATTCTTCTACATTTGCATAATCCTGGACGGGGGAAAACACCTAAATGGTCCTTAAATACGTTAGAAGTTCTATATAGGAATAGCCCCCGATAACTTTAACCGTCTATATATATATAACTACAATCCTATAAATCCCCTTATATATAGCCCGAGGCTTCCTATAGCGACTTAGGCGTAAATAGATACGCCGTTACCGACTATATAGTAGTAAAAAAAGTATGATAAGAGTGGGATTTGAACCCACGCCCCTTTCGAGACACGGAGACAGTTGTGTACCATCGGGATCAGGTGGACCTGAACCGTGCGCCTTAGACCAACTCGGCCATCTTACCAATTGGATGAATGATGGTGTGGTTTTTGGACTTATCAAGCAAAAGCTCAATCTAGGACTTTCGATGCAGCAGCTCATGTGCTATTCCTCCTACAGCTTCACAAGCTAACTCCTAGGTGGTGTAATTAAGTGCTGACATTCCGTATTTTTATTTATTATGCTTGAATATTGTCTCCATCCGTTGATAGTTGGTAGGTTATATTCAATATATATATGCCGAGTTGGCGGATCAATCAACTATATATATATTCAAGATCAAGAGTGTATGGTATTAGTTGATAACACTGCACAGCCATAATGTATCGCTTTGTTCTGGCGAATGACAATTCGATATACCCACAATACATAGACAGTGGCATACCCTGTAATTCGACCCCATCAATCCTTCCTTTCCAGGTAAGGCAGACATGCCTCATAAACCTCCCCGTAGCCAGGGTATTTGATTATTCTCTGGAACACCCCATCGTCAATCACTCTAATAGACCGAAGGGAACCGGCAATGAAGAAATCAGTGTAGCTTGGCCGGGCACCAAGCACAAACGGTCCGTCCGCCTTGTGTGTTCGCATTAGCTCGCCAATAGCGCCAATAGCGTCGCTAACACCGTTCCAGACGCGCTCCTCCTTGTCCCCGTCAAGAAGATCTTCAAGACGATGCCCAAGGGCGGCTTCGCGCGTGCGCCGGAAATACTCCTGCGAGCGCGGCGACAAGATGTCGACCTCGCGCGGCATCACTGATGAGTAGATGGCCTTGCCGAGCACACCGCGTGCTTTGGTCTCGATCTCGCGACCAAGGTCTGAAGTTAGTGGCACGGGTGGATATGGGTAGGTCGACTCTAGGAATTGCGCGATCGGGAGTGAGTCCATAATGTATGTGTTGGTTGGCACATGTTGGATTGCGGGGACGGTGTATCTGGATGCCTCTCCTGGAACCAGGCCACTGGGTGGTTTGGAGTTAGCTGGGGAGCTTCTTCATGTGTGATCCAAGGCTGAGGCTATGTGCTGAGACCTGCAAATGAAGCAAAGGGAACTGGATCTAAAGAATGAACAGTAAAAGAAGGTAAATGTAACATACAGGTTCTTGAGCGTGGGCTCAATGTCCGGAAACTCGAGGAAGATGGTCTTGTAAGGAATGTTCTTGTAGTTGAGCATGAGGCGAATGCGCCAGACAACGGGAGAGAAGCTGACGTGCTTAGTGCAGGCTAAGTCGTACAAAACGATCTCGAGTTCGGGTTGGGCGGCCATATCTTCCTGCTGTATTTTGATTAAAAAACAAAGGTGAAATGTGATGTAGAGGAAATGATAGACCACCAGGCGTAATACACAGGAACCAAGGGAAGAGTGATGGTAAGGCTGATATTGGAATGCTGATAGAGTTAATGGCGGGCCCGGGGGCTGCAGCACGGCTTTATACGAACAAGCACCACCCTGCAGATGCTCAATGATGGAGATGCTATATATAGAATAACTGACCATCCATAGAGAAATACTAAGTTAGTGCTTAACCAGGTGCACTTCATCACTCCTTAACTAAACCAATGATGGATTACATGAGCCACCCTATTATATCTTGAACCCTAAGCATCAATATCCAGCCCTGATAACTTCTGTATATTGATAGCCTCTGAACTGTATTCAAGAAGACGCAAAGCACATAGCGTCAAAGTTTTCCTTCATAATTTCATAATTTCTCCCGTCTGTCATCCAATTGGTAAGATGGCCGAGTTGGTCTAAGGCGCACGGTTCAGGTCCACCTGATCCCGATGGTACACAACTGTCTCCGTGTCTCGAAAGGGGCGTGGGTTCAAATCCCACTCTTATCATATCTTTTTGTTTTTTGCTGCTTGGTCTTCCCTTATTACAATAATACTGGGATTCGTGGAAGTCGAAGGACTGTGGTAGTTTCTTTTTGTTGGATATGCATATAGCCTGATGTAACTTAAGCCAAGGAACGCATGGTCGAAGTTGCTGCAGAATCTAAGAAAATTATGTACAAAAAGTATGACTGTAGACGGCAAGACAAGAAGAGGAAAGCGAAAAGTAGCATATGAAAAATGAAACAGCTACATAGGTGAATATGTGCATATCCATAATCTAGTCTCGGAAGAGGAAGAAAACTGGAACAAAAGACCAGACTATCAGACCAAATTAATGAGCCTACGACTAGAGAGAACAACCCCAAGCC